TCTAGTGACAATAGCAGTAAACATACTGGTCCTCTAAAAATGACACTTGAACGACATAAAAATAACACGTGTCTCTTTGCGGTTGAGACTATAAGCGTTTCCCACAAGTCATCAAATGCAAATGCTGCACGGAAGTACAGCATTGACTCTGGAGTTTGCCTTGAGGTATAATGTTATCCATAATTATCACAAACATCCAATCTATAGGTGCTTATTAGACCACAATTACTTACTATACCACTTCTATTTTGCAGCCCGTCTTAAAAAATATGAAAAGATATGTACCTATTCAAATAAGTGGGTCCAAGTATGACGTAACTCAATTGCACAGTAAAGGTGAAACCGTTTCAACCTCAAGCAATGACGATGATCAAATACCTGAAAAACCAATACATCACTTTGCACGTCTTGGTCTTATGCGATCTCATAATGTAAGTTTGCTTGAAAAAAAAGAGCTGAAGCGAAAGAAATTGGTAAAACGCAGTAAGGCGAACATGTAAGTATTTTTATGGTACCGCCGATCTACACACACTGGCCACTTTTTAGCATCAATATGAAAGCAGTACTACACCATATACCTACGGACGAAGATGTTGCAGATGTACTCAAAGAATTTACTGTCGACCTTCTTTTAAAAGCCTTTAGTATTCTGGTTCAAGATCTTTACACTTATCTTGTAACAAACGTTAATGTATCGATGGACATCTCCCATTTTCTTTGGCTGGTTACATATTTTTTGAAATTTGCAACCCAATTAGAACTGGATCTAGAGTTCATAAATCCTGTTCTTTCATATAATGTGGTATCATATCTGGTTTTTCAGGGCATTTCATTATTTGAAAACTTTCAAATAAGTTGTCGAATGTCACATAATGTTAAACCTTGCTTCCGAAGATTGCATTTGGTTTGTGACTTTCTCAAACTTTCATATATTGTATAAAACATACTGTTTTTTTTAGGTTGTTACAGCTATAAGAGAATTTATCCAGTCGTTACAGAAGTATGACGAAACTAAGCATTTAAGTAACTCGGACCATGCGAGACTTTTAATTTTACAAAGACAAATGATAGAGTTGGAAGAACTACGAAATTTTTTTCTCTTGTTATTACGTCACTATAACTTTGATCATCACAGTAATGCCTATCTAGAAGATATTATCGTCACGAATCATCATTACCTGTTACTTTTGGATAAAATGTCCAAAACTGAGGGCGTGAAGGTTAAAATTAAGGATCATTTAAAGGAGTAAGTGCTTAAATAATTTATTAGGTGCTTCTAACGTTCCATAAATTCCTTACAGATTTGCAACAATTGAATGCATGCGTCTATACGGAATACTTTTGGAAAATTTCCAAGGAAACAGAAACCATGTCAATGATTGCATATTTACGATGATGCATCATACAGCCGGTGATTTGGAGAACATGGCTACATTGTTTCAACCTGCAATTTTAAGAACATTTTCGGAAATGTGGGAAACAGATTTCAAGCTGTGTGATGTATAGTAGATGTGGTACTGATCAATATTGGGAGTTTAGCTATTTACATTTTAGGATTGGTCGGATTTAATTGAGTTTGTGATTCACAATTTTATGAACGTTTCTAAATATGACTCGGCATTAAATACTGCGGAAAACTGTTCTACATATGGATTAGCCTGCCATTTCTCTGGAACCAAGTACTGTGTTTGTCTATTATTTTTTGGTGTATTAAATTAATTTAAATGTTGAAAATGTATGATGAAGGTAAAAGTTATAGTGCAGCAATGACTTATTTATCAGAGTTGTTTATATATTTTTAAGTTTTAAGTAGATCCAGAATGAAGTTGTTTTGTTGTTCAAAATGCCTTCAACCTACCAAAAATAACTTCATTGATTTTAAATAGGTATATATTGCAATGTACATTTTTTTAGTGAGATGGAAAATGGCCTATGTGAACAATACAGTCAACATATTTCCATTTCTCACACAACAAAAAGTTTCTTCTCAACTGCTTCATCAGCTGCACATTCAAATTACATTGAATATGAAATTTTTAGCAATGAAGTAAATCTATTAAAGGGGTATTTTATCAAAGATGGCAAACAAAAATATTTACTCTGGTTACAAAAATCAGTGCTGGAAGCTCGTCTTTGCAAATTAATTGTAACCCATGAACGTTCAATGGAGTATCAAAGTCAGATATTACAACCTGTTACATATTACAATACCGGTAAGTAAAATAGAGTAGCTAGTTAAAATAATAAATTAATGGAATGAGAGATTACTAAACGTCAGTCCTTGAGCTCTGAAGTTATTTCAGATGAAAAGTTTATTATATAACTCGAAACATTTCAGTCATTTGTCAGTTTACAATCACCCAAATCCAACTAAAGTTGTCATAGAAATTCATGTCCATCAAACGAAAATTTTGAATTGTTTGATGAAATTTGTAAGGGCTTTCATTAAGTCACCTTTATAGTATTTTTTTCATTACATATTTCATTATAGGTAGGTATGTGAACTGATGATCTCCATATCGAGCTATAACAATTTCTTATTTCCAGTGTTAAATTTACCAATTCCACTCGTTCCGTGGACATTAGAACAAACAAATATTATTAAATATCAGCCCTTTGTGTCACTTCTACTTCATTTTGGATTTATACTGCCCGGTGATACAGATAACATTTTCATCAAAATACCAAATTTTTGGACAAGCAAGGACATGCTTGATATTGCGGAACAATTAGGACCAATTGACTACGGTATGTGTACCTCAGTATAGAATTAATGTTTATAGCACAATTTATATCAAGTGTTTTCTAACTCAGTAATAGACTTTTTTAAATTTATAGTTTCACCTACGAAAATAAATGAAGTCAAAATATCACATAGGATATAGGTTTTTTCATCTAAAGGGAGAAGATTTTTTAAGTATTGGCAATAGTTCAATCTAACAACTACAAACTTTACAAGTTTAAGTTTTAGGTCAGGATCAGTTGGACTCATATGCTGTAGGTACATATGAGTAAACATTGGTTTCAGTGGTTCAAACTCCCACGCACGATACGGAATTGGAAACTAGAACTAGATAAGTAAAGACCACATTTTACTGAACCGAATCTTTGTACACAATTTGCTATTAATAGTAAATAATTATTTACTAATAGACTAGAAAACTGTGTGTATTGATTAAATACGTTGTGTGTTTGTTACCTTAGGCGCGGTTCCCACTGGAGCGATGCGATAAGCGATGCAACATGAGCAATCTTTTATCGCATATTCGCGTAAGGTGCTTTAAGCTTTTCAGCTATTTGTTTCCACGTAACACCTGTCAAATCAGTCCTGCTATAACTTTTCAATGCATAGTTCCATAAACACGCTTTCTGCTCCACCAATTTCACGAAGGAAATAGAGGATTGTACGTCTTCTTGCTGACCCTGCATGATTAATCGGACGTGTCGAACGATATGCGCTCAAAGCGACCCGGCAGCTATGTCTCTCGCCCCGACGCGACTCCGATAATTATCGGCGTAGTATCGCGATCGCTCCAGTGTGTACCAGATAAGTTGCTTCCATTACCTTTGCACGATTATGAGTGATCGGTGTCGAATCAGGATCGGGTTGCTTATCGAATCGCCTGTTGCATCGCTTATCGTATCGCTCCAGTGGGAACCGCGCCTTAGATTATATATAGATACTGTGTCAAGTAACAGGCTAGATGTTAAGATACTCAGTGATTAAATATGCAATGCTTGTTTTAAGAGTTGAAAAAAAAAACTACACAATAGGTATAATTCAATGGTATAATTTTAAATATACCTACCTATTACCTAGATAATATACAGTGGGGATCCGTCCATATTCATATGTGTGTCTGAAGCCGCAACTCATACTGTAACTCCCTTGGAATTAGTTTTAGATTACTACTAATTAGTTAAAACTAATATTCTAATTTTCTTGCGGTTTTTTTTCTTAAGACAAAGGGAGGATTAGAGCGTGTGGTGTAAACATTTTGCCCACCTCGCATTGTGGGTTTCAGAACAAAAAATCCTTAGCCCTCCAATTTCTATATCCTGCTATATCTTCGAAGTTATATTAACCTGTGAACCTGTTAATTTTCTTACGATCCTCTTAGAATCTTCCCCGGATACTCTCAGAATAATTTTAAGAACCTTCATGCAATCTTCAGAATAATAATTGGAATCCACATTGGAAATGTTCGTAGAATCATCTTCTTGCAATCTTTGTAGAATTGTCTTGAAATGTTGTCGGAAGCATAAAATATTATCTACTAAAAAATGAGATGGTTGTGAATGTGCGTGTGTCTGAATTGAGGCATTAACCCTAAAAGGGTTTGGCCTAGCCCCTAGCTCCCCTGTTTGTTTAATATAGATAGGTATAGGTACCCAGATAGCACCAAACGTTCGAAAGACGTTCTGTTTAAGTACAAATAATGCCAAAACGTTCCGTAACGATTGGCTCAAATGTTCCTCCATCGTACGTCCATCCAAAGAAAGGTTATACACTGCCTATTTTTTGCCCCGAAAAAAAATTGTCTCGGATCGACCCGGAAAATTTTTTCTTATAGAACGTGGCCTGTAGAATCCATAATTTCAAACAGTTCCAAGATTGGGCTACTAGTTCAAAAGTTACAGCCCTTTGAATTTTTTTCGAAATTGGTTTCTAGTCTATAACTTTTGATTGAGAAGTCTGAATAAATGGCAGTTTAAAATGTACGGAGTCTTGCAAGATCTGTAGAGCAATTGTAGTTTAAATGTCCGGTTTTTGAATAGATTAAATACAATAAGTACTAGTGCGCCATCTCCAGGGCAATCGATACACTTTCTATCAATTATAGTTTTAGAAGTCTAGTTGAGATGTCGCCACGTACGCTCCTTTTAAAATTAATATGAATTTCTGCGATTAATAGCAACGTTGCACTTATTATTCCTTAAATGCAGTGCCGTTTTTAAGTTTTTCGGGGCCCTGGGCCATTCGTTCGTCGAGGCCCTCCTTACCCTCAATAAAAACGGCAGATTGGGGAGATTCAAGCAAATCCCTAGTTTGAATATAGGCACACGATATTTGTGTAGCCTGGTTTGTAGGCAACACATCATGCTCAATGAACAGAAAACATTTATTTTTGCAATTTGTAACTTCTTATGCATAGGAGTTTATTTAAAGCTTTATTAATTCGAGCGCGTTACAGCAAATTCAAATTTTAGCGCGCTTGCGTTTGCGCAGTCCGAGGGAGTCAATATCCAACACATCTGGCAAGTGATGGTGATCCGCACTGAATCATATGATATTACTGTTCTGTGCATATGATAAGAAGATATACTTTACATACCAGCTGATACTTTATTTTTGTACTGCAATGCAAATATAAAACTGTGATATTCATTTTTAAATTTACACTTAATACAATGGTAGCTCCAGAAATAGGTTCCACAAATGCAGATATAACGACCGACAAGACGCCTTTGGTTAATCGGAGCGTTTTGCAGAGATTGTATAATTTCTTTGGCAGAAGTGCTCAGTTGTCCACTAATATAACATCAGATGGTTACGTAGAATTTGGGTCCATTACTGAAGGTCTTGACAATCGTACCTTAGGGACTTTTTCGGGTGTATTTGCTCCCGTTACGTTGTCCATGTTTTCTGCATTGATATTTCTGAGGGTCGGTCAGTAAGAATTCCATTGCATATAAATATATGTATAATACTATCTATTCCAGGATATTTGGTGGGAAATGCCGGTTTATTAGTAACACTTTTACAGTTTTTCATTTCATACGTTATTTTGATATTTACTGTAGCTTCGATTTGCGCAATTTCGACTAATGGTGCAGTGGAGGGCGGTGGAGCTTACTGTATCCTTGTTTCTGGCAGACTTTATTTGAAGTTTCCTTAACTGAGCAGTTATGATCAGTCGTACTTTAGGACCAGAATTTGGTGGTTCCATTGGTACATTGTTCTTCTTAGCAAATATAGTGAATAGTGCCTTTAATATTTCTGGTTGCGTGGAAGGACTGGTTCAATTGATTGGACCTGGAGGTATGATTGTACTTATAGGTAATCACGTCAGAGATTATAGTTTTTTTTTTATTCTAATAGGATACCTGGTGCACGATGATGGATGGGTACCGGATGGACTCTGGTTTCGCTTTTTGTACAGCTCAATTTTAAACTGTTTAAATTTGATTATATGTTTAATTGGAGCAGGAATGTTTGCAAAGACTACAGTTTTTATTCTGGCGACAGTAATTGTGTGTACAATTATCTCGTTTATCAGTTTCTTCGTACAGGCTCCTATGCAGGTAATGCACTAAATTTTGCTACTATTTTCAAATGGTTTGCATAGGTTCCTATACCAAACGTAAATACGTTGGTGCACAACAGCACAGGATTTTTCACAGGTTTAAATTCTTCAACAATGTATGCAAATTTAAAGGAGCATTATGGTCATGATTATACTGTAAATGGTGAAGAGGTCACTTTTGCTTCTGTTTTTGCGGTGTTATTTTCAGGAGTGACAGGAATTATGGCAGGAGCAAATATGAGCGGTATGTGCGTATAATCCGAGGGGTTAACTACTTGGTAAATGTGATGTATAGGTAGGGGAGAGGAGGTTTTTAACAAAACATTCTAAACGACAAATTGAAACAATCGTATACAATGATTGGAACTTTATTTAAACGGATGTTTCCTTTTATTTTATTGTATGTACCCTAAACGACATTGTCATAAGTTGGTTCTGACAAGTAATCATAATTAAGTTGCTACGTTAAATGCTTCGTCACTTAATATAATATGACCATTTTAACCATAATAGTTGCAGTTACACTTTACCAGACTATTTTTGCTGTCTTCTGTCACTCTTATCAGACTCCTGTGAAAGATGTTTAGATCTATCAATATCTAGTTTTTTTTTTAATGTACATTTGAGGATGTTTTTCTTTGTCGTCTCATAGGCTAAATCTAAATAATAAATTCATGGTGTCACAAGACCCCATTGTAATTTAAAATTTTTGAAAGGGTGCTTGATTTATTCCATACATGTAGACCGCTCCGTATATTTGTTTTTTTTTGCATGATCAACTGTCGTGAAATTTCGGGTCAATGTAGGAAATATACGTAAATGTGTAATTGTGATAAATGTTGGGTAAACGTGGTTAACTCCTCGGTGTAATCATTTCTATATTATAATTATGTATGTATATATATGTATATATATACAATAATATTCTAGGGGAATTAAAAAATCCAGCAAAATCAATCCCACGTGGGACATTGTCGGCAGTTTTATTTACATTGACAGTGTACCTATGTTTAGCGTTACTAACTGCTGCCTCTTGCGATGTATTTCTTCTACAAAATAATTACCTTTACATGGCCGGTATTAGCGTATTTCCAGCTAGTGTTGCCATTGGCCTGATAACAGCGACGTGGACGGCTGCTTTAAGTAATGCCATTGGAGCTTCGCGAGTTTTGGAAGCTCTCACAAAGGATCGCATATTTGGTAAGGCAGCAACAGACGTAATGATTTAGTATTTTGAGATTTAGGTTCTATATTGGATTTTATTCCGAGAGGAACATGGCGTGCCAACCCGATCGTTGCTGTGATTATCACATGTGTTTTGGTAGAATTTGTTTTATTATTGGGATCAGTGAATTTAATAGCCAAATTAAATTCGGTTCTCTTTCTATTAAGTTACTTGGCAACAAACCTGGCTTGCTTAGGACTAGAGTTGGCAAGTGCCCCTAATTTTCGTCCATCTTTTAAATATTTCACTTGGCATACAGCATTTATCGGCCTATTTGGTACACTTATAATGATGTTTGTTATTAATCCCATCTTTGCAGTGTGCAGTATTCTGTTATGCCTTATTCTTATTGTTGCTTTGCACCTGTTTTCGCCATCCAAAGAGTTTCAGTGGGGTAGTATTTCACAAGCCCTAATTTTCCACCAAGTTCGCAAGTACCTTTTACTTTTGGACTCACGAAAGGATCACGTTAAGTTTTGGAGACCCCAGGTTTTATTATTGGTTAATAGCCCTCGTAGCGCTTGTCCTTTGATCGATTTTATTAATGACCTGAAAAAGGGTGGTTTGTATGTATTGGGACACGTTGTTAATGCTGATCCTTATACACAACCGGATCCGACACAAGACATGATTTACCATTGGTTAACCTTGGTAGATCATTTGAAGGTGAAAGCTTTTGTGGAATTGACTGTCGCACAAAGTGTAAGGGAAGGATTGCAACATTTAATGCGTCTTTCGGGAATGGGCGCCATGAAGCCTAACACAGTAGTTTTTGGTTTTTTGGATCATGAACCACAACAAGACTTCTTACAGAGGTAAACAGATGACAGTACTGTTTTATGCTTTTTACCTGAAGAAAAGTAATACTGTGTCCAAAAAGTACCCGGAATCTTTCCATTTAAACTACTCGGGTAAATACTTCTGCAGAAATATTTTTTTTTATGTTGGCAGCACTCCCATGTCAAACTTCAAGTCGTATAAGTGTTAGTAGTGTTTGAGTTACGCAGTCTTGTACGACACACAAAGTGAATTTTTCGATTTTTACAATGTCTGAAATTATTCAACAAAGAAGTGCGATTAAATTTTATTTCCTGAATGGAATAACTGCTGCGGAAATGTTGCAGAAGGCTTACGGGGATCAAGCTCTATCAAAAACACCAACATTTGATTGGTACAAAAAGTTCAATGAAGGCAGACAACACGTTGATGACGAAGAGTGACCCGGGTGACCATCCACATCAACTGACGTCAATAAAATCAAAGGATTGGTACTTGCAAACCGCCGATTAACAATAAAAGACCTTGCTGATGATATTCGCATATAAAAAGGATCACTAAATTAAATTTTGAAGGATGTTTTGGGCCTCAGACGCGTCAAATCTCGATTGGTACCGAAAACACTGTTTTTTTGTTTGGAAAGAGCGGCGAGTTTTTCGCCAAAAATGCGATAAATATCGTTCCACAACCACTGTATTCGCCTGATTTAGCTCCATCCGACTTTTGGCTATTTGCTAAGCTCATAAGACCGCTCCGGGGACGTCGTTTTGAGTCAATTGAGGAGAAAAAAGCCGAATCGAAGAAGGTATGCTGAAGGCAATTCTGGAAAATAACTATTCGGAATGCTTCGAGGACTTAAAAAAACGCTGACGTAAGTGCTTGCATCGGAGGGGGAGTACTTTACAAGTCGATGAAATATACATATTTAGAAGAATAAACAAAGGTTTTGCTTTTTATAATGCATTGCGGGTATTTTTTGGACACAGTAATATATATTTATTTCCACAATAACATGGAATCCCAAGGTACAAATTCAGCAAAAGCTGCTCTTCCATATGCACCATGCACATGGGAGTAACGTATAAAATAAAAAGTAACACTTTCTCAGTATACCATTTAGAATGCATTACATTATTAAAAAAATTAATGGAAGTTGATTTGTACTGGGTAGTTAAGTAGAAATGGTTAGTCGTGGAAAATAAGAAATATAAATTTATGTCAACAGCTCGAATTCGCCATACTCAAATTGTGACCTTCTAAGCAGTGCATTTCCAATAAGATGGCAAAATATTAATTGTGACGAGTACGTTGCGATGATATCAGACGTGCTACATATGAACAAAAATGTTTGCTTGTGTCGAAACTTTGTCAATCTTAACATGGATTCGATTAAGTACGTATACTATTAAGCGTAGATTTAAGTAAATTTCTTGATTTAGAATCTCTGAGAAAAAATATATCGACGTGTGGCCTATCAATTTTTTAAACCCGACAGACAAGGATGCATTCGACACCACATCGTTGTTTATGATGCAACTGGCTTGCATCATTAACTCCGTCCGAAAATGGAAGAAGTTAACTTTGAGAATATGCGTTTGCGATGAGGTTCGACAAAGTTCATTTAGTTTGTCCAGCAGGTCTTCTGTCGAATCCCAGTCTGAAAAACTATCAAATTTATTAAAAATGTTACGCATCTCCGCTAAATTGTTTATGGTAACAGGATGGAATGCCGTGATCGAGGCACATTCTTCCGCTTTTCCCACTTACTTAAACAGGTAAGCCTCACATAAGTAACTCACATCTGATAACAGATGCATTTTTAGGGTAAATGAATTAATCACTCAGCATTCGACGGACTCTGTAGTTACCTTTCTTTATTTGAACCCTCCACCAGTGAGGGGGGGTTCGGCCCAATCTTATCTTGAAATGTTAGATGCTATCAGCAAGAATCTGCCGCCCCTTATGTTTGTTCATGGCGTCAGCACTGTTACCTCAACTACATTATAACAATATCTAATTTAGTACCTAAGTATAATTTCCTATCAAATATTTTTAATTCCATATTAAGTTTTTACATTTAATCCGTGATTAAACTTTATATAAAACTATTAGTTTTCCTGAAAAGCTGTCAAAGTTAACAATCCCTTTCTGACTGACTAACCTTCCATACCCTTAAATCACATTTGAACTAAGAATCCACTTGCTTATACCATTGGCTAAAATCTCCAATCCTACCCTACATAAAAGAGCTACGTCCAATCAGTATACTACCAACTTTGTCTATGGTTATGGAAAAGGTGATCGTTTCCATTTTCATCACATTTGCAGCTTAATAAGATCATACCCATCGATCAAGCAATGTTTACACCCAGCCACAGTTGTAATATTGCATTACTGAAAATTGTGGGCGATATAAAATGATTAAGATACTTAACTGCCTTGGTTTGGCCGGATCGCAAAATCTCCATTACAACTGATGTATGCACCTGTGCATAGTATGCAATTTTTCAAACTATTCTTTTCATATAGGTTCACAAAAGTTGTGTAGTAATCTTGATCAAATTCAAATCTAACTGATTCACTGTATTTCATCGCAGTTTCATTGGAAGGTTCTAAGAAAAGTAAAAGTAAAGTAAAATCATTTTTTTTCAGTTTTAATAAATTACTTTATCAATCGATTTTCAGTGTGTATCAAAATTATCCAGACATCTTACAATTGTAATTAATTAGTATTGATCAATATCAAAGAACACTACCATACTATTTACACAAGATTGAGAGTTGTATAACAAAAAGAACGAAATTATAACCAGCAAAAGGGCACAGCAGATTGTAAGATTTCCTTAAATTAATAATATACCTACCAACTCGTCGGTATATAAAATAATTTTGCACACTTGATTAAAATTGGGTAATTTTGGTACATGCAATTTCTATGTAGGGAAATAAAACGGTCATTATTGTGGTCCCAACATTTGTTCCGGTTTAACCCAATCGTCAAATTGTTTTTCAGTTACATGTCCTAATTTAACAGCGGCTTGCTTTAAAGTGGAACCTTCCTTGTGTGCCAACTTCGCAATTGCGGCAGCTTTATCGTACCCTATGTGTGGATTTAGTGCAGTAACGAGCATCAGACTTTCCTCCATTATTTTTCTTATGTTATCTTTGTTCGCCACAATTCCAAGGGCACAATGTTCCGTAAATGATTTACATGAGTCACCCAGTAACCTTATAGATCTGAGCACGTTCGCTACGATCATTGGTTTAAAAACATTTAGTTCAAAATGACCATTTGATCCGCCGATAGTAACCGCAACGTGATTGCCCATCACTTGAGCGGCCACCATTGTAAGTGCTTCACATTGCGTCGGGTTTACCTTACCGGGCATAATTGAACTTCCCGGTTCATTTTCGGGAAGGCTTAATTCTCCTAGGCCGCAACGAGGCCCTGATGCTAGAAATCTAATATCGTTGGCAATCTTCATAAGTGACACGGCTAAGACGTTTAATGCGCCCGACACTTCGACCATTGCATCATGAGCGGCCAATGCCTCAAATTTATTGGGTGCTGATACAAAGGGCAAACCGGTCAGTTGGGCAATTTGCGTAGCGCATTTCTCTGCAAATCCTTTTCTCGTGTTTAAGCCAGTACCAACTGCTGTACCTCCAAGCGCCAACATGTACAAACGTGGCAAAGTGTCACGTACTCGTTCAATGCCAAACTGTAATTGCTGCACGTAACCGCTGAATTCCTGCCCTAACGTCAACGGTACAGCATCTTGAGTATGTGTACGGCCAATTTTAATTATATCCCTAAATTCCTCCGATTTCTGTTGAAGGGCGTCGTGTAATAATTGAAGATTGGGCAATAGAGTACAATGTATTTCACGAGCGACTGCTATATGCATTGCAGTGGGAAAGGTGTCATTGCTACTTTGACTTTTATTCACATGATCGTTAGGGTGGACGGGTTCTTTAGAGCCCAATTTTCCACCCATTATTTCAATGGCACGATTGCTTATTACTTCGTTCGTGTTCATATTACTTTGAGTTCCGGAACCCGTTTGCCAAATAACTAAGGGAAAATGGTCATGGTATAATTTTCCAGATATAACTTCGTCAGCAGCTTTTGTAATTGCATCCACTATTTCGGGTTTTAAACCGTAGTCTTTGTTAACAATTGCTGCAGCTTTCTTTAGAATGCCCATTGCGGTCACAACTGGATACTACAGTCAAATGTTTAATTTGAGTCAAGATCCGACGTGCGAAAAACTTACCGGCATACGTTCAGTTTCTCCGCCAATATTAAAGTTAATCGTGGATCGTACAGTTTGTGCTCCATAATACTTTTCAGAGGGCACTTCTAATTCACCAAAGGTGTCTTTTTCTTTTCGAAAACCTTTCTAAGAATATAATTATGTAATGACCACAATAGGACCTATAAATAAAGTAAAAATACCTACAGACATCACACTTGAAGAACGTAAACTTCTCGTACAGAAGCGTGTAACAGCTGGAACACAGCGATATATTGGAAATTGCGAAACACTCATCTTTTTATCTCTTTAAAACTTGTTTTTCAAACGTTTTTTTTATCGATCCTTTCGTTAACCTCAACTTCAAGGACGGTGGCCACCTTAGAGAAGGAAAGAGAACCACAGTTGGCCACTGGAAGCAACAAACCACAAGTCTACAGTTCATGGCACCTGCTCGTCATCAATTCAATGACGTCCCTATACCAGGGCGCCGTCGCACTTGAGATGTGTTGCATATTGACTCCCTCGGTACCTACTGCGCAAACGCAAGCGCGCTTAAATTTGAATTTTCGTAAAACTGTCAAGTTTAATGTGTAAATAATAAACATAACCTGCAAACGCTATAATTGAAGAAAATTTAGTTTACGTGCTTACCTATTGTAAGTAGGTGTAGTAGGTATATGATAATGCCATGTTATCAAGATAAATTTTGTTGTTATCCACATTTCGAGTACATGGCTATGAATTTCTCGAGGAATTCCTAGAATATGCCAAAGGCAATACGAAGAAACTGTTTCCGTAAGTACTGTAACAGTTAATTAGAAATAGTTAATGAAATCTACTTACAGCAATAACGTTACAGACCAATTATTGACCTACGATAGAGAGAGAGTTGGGTGCTGAACTAATCACAAAAAACCAGACTACAAGCTACTTGCGTTTGCGTAGTACCGAGGGAGTCAATATGCAACACATCTGCAAGTAGGCGTCGCGACCATTACAACCAATGACAAAAAATTGCATTATGAAATCTTTGATAATCAAAGTATGAAATTAATCCTTCATTTACTTCTTGATTCTTGCCCTAAGCCACGGCGTTCTGGTAATAGGAAGCCGTGACTAAGCCCTTAAGAGATTTCTACCACTGTAATTTTACTAAGGACTAAACCATAGACCAAATACCTCTGCATAGGTATACTGTACCGCATTGTGGGGCGTCTAATAACGGGTAGGTAATAAAAAACGAGTGGTGTTTGGAAGTTCAAGTTAAGTACGATTTTCCATGTAAACAAAAATTCCAAAGGTGACTCGGCAGTATCTCATTTTTGATAGCATATAGTAGTACTTAAAATCTCGGGTAAACCTTAGGAGAAAGAAGATGCACCCAGAGATGCTTCTCAATGCTCCTCCCAGGAAGAACGTAGGTACCTACTAAATCGGTCTTGAGTTGAATAATAATTAACAATAATATAATTTAGTAGGTATATATCGTATAGTCTTAATAAAGTTCCATTAAACTAGGTACCATAATTCAATTACCTACAACAGGCATGCCAAATTCCCCGTCACACACAATTACCTGTAAATTGTGCCATAATAATTTTCTTCTAGAATCCATAATAAAGAACTATCAAAAATTATGGTAGCCGGCAGAATGCTCGAAACTGGTCATTCCCATCTCTGCCACAGATGAAAAATTCACCTCAACCCATTTTTTGAACACCCGACCTCCGGATTTATAGCCCAACGCTCTACCACTCAACCATAAAGACCATACTTGTCGCACGGAGACCTTTCTCACATTGTTCACTTAAGCTTTGCCGTGCCCCAATTTATATTTTTTTGTCACGAAAGTCGCCAGACATCACATCGGCAGAAAAAAAGTGTACCGATGTTGTCTGTCGTCATAGTGAGAATGCAGCACAAGTGAGAGTCTTACCTTTAGATTTACACATCTAATAAGACGCACTCGCTCATCAACACACATTATATATGTTTGTTAAAAGCACTAACTTTTCAATTCTTTATTGGAATTGTGGTAAGTTACAAAAAGTATGATAATAGCAAACAAGGGTGTTGAAGGTGTTCAGAATGTCGAGCACGAAAGACCAAACCCTGAAAGCAAATTGGTATGACCACAACTGCAATTTAAATTTAGTAAAATCGTACCTCAAATCCGTTTACTTAGACCTCGCACGCATCTTCCTGCGTTTACGCTTTAGCCTTCGCATACGCTTCTTCCTCCACTGCAATGAAATAATAAATGCAAAACATAAAAATTTGGGTTAATTAAAATAAAAATCGAGTAAAACAAAAAATATTAATTGTTTAATTACCTTAGCTCTCATTATTAGAAAGTTGTGATGAAAAGCACCTTACAACGGCAAGGATGGCTTAAAAATACTCCGATTTTAATTTAAGAAACGTTCGCTGCAATCTGCGAACGACAGCCAAAAGAAGCAAACAGGAACAACGTCACGCGCTACCAACACTAACACATCACGACCGGCACCAACGCAAATACAAAGTCCCTAACTTTAAATTTTCTTTTCAAAAAATCAAAATACCAGAGTTTTGTTTTCAGACAAACGCATACGGCACGGACGCAACGCAGTAACATGGTAAGCAAATTTTTTTTTTTGAATTTCCTTTTAATGCTGATTTTAGGCAGCGAAAATCGACGGAATTTCTGAAACAGTAAAACAGGATGACGACGAACATCACCGTCCTTCGGAAAATGTAAAGAGTGTAGATCTAAATTCGACATTCAATGATGAGTTTCAGTGTAACGAGGTCCCACCAAAGAAAGTGCGCAGAAAATCTGAGCCGAAAATGATCGAAAATATGAAGGAATACTTGCATAATGATAGTTTAGAAAAATTGACAACGACCACTCTACGATATTGGCTGAAACAGCATCAAGTGCATTGTACCACAAGAGAGAAAAAAGATGATTTAATGAAGAAGGTCAGAAAACATTTTGAAACCAACGAAGCCTAAAACGTTTCTTTCCTTTGTAGAAATAATTAGCACAGTTGAAGTAGGTACTTTATTTATTAAATAAATTTTGTAAAAAAGAAGCGGTTAACATTTAAAGATCCATTACAACATGTGCCCGGAAAATTAAATATATACAACTGACAGGCGTAGTGTTACTGTATATAAATAAATCAATTTTCTCACAGCCCACATTAAACACTATAAAATCAACATAAAATTACCTACTCAGCAGTCACGCTAAGAAAAAATATCTACCCAAATTTAGAAAAAGTAATACATTTTTCCCAAACGTGACTAGGTATAAACCATAACGAAATTTGAGACGGCGCGTACCGTTAACTTTTAACCGATTATTATAACATTACAATGCAATTATTGCATCTCAAGTATCAACTTTATTAACAAATTTAATTAAAATATCCATTTACAAATAAAATACAGAGCAAATGAATTTGTCACACTAATTGCCTAACAGTTACAACTACATAAAAAGTTTGATGTGTATTATTAACGACAATAAACACACACCTTTCCCCGTATAAAAAAAACATGATGCGACAGACTAGATTGGCATACGGAGGGTAATTAGAATTGTCAAATATTAAATAAGAAATGACACCTTTAAGATTATGCATTGCCAATGGTGGTGTAATCGTTATTAGTGGAATTAACTTCACATCAATTTGTAAGTATGACAGGGTTATGTTCCTATTGGAGTAAATAAAAATGGGTAACTACAATCAGACTAAAAATGTTTAGTCACCTCATTATGCAGGTTTCCTTATAAAACTGTAAAAACTGACTTATTTGCAACCAGAAATTAGGTCTCTCAAATGTATGTACCTATGCACAGTGTGTCGCAGGTAAAATGCACCATAGGGAAACGTTAATATATTTTTTGGAAACGATCCACGAGGCCTCTGAAATTAGCGTTTAACGTACTACTTCATTCTCTTTCTAGCATTAAACAAGTGCAATAACATATGTTGAAGGCTAACTTGAAATACATACCAAAGGGTCACTTGATCCTTCGCAAAAAAATACATTAATGTTGTTTCCCTATGGTGCATTTTTCCTGGGAGACACAGAAGATGACGTTCACTATACCTACAATTGACCAATTTTTTTCATTTTTCATTCTTTATCAAATACCGTGTTTGTTCCACAACTCTAAATTCACCACTTTGTTTTTCTTTTAAATGTCGGATTTTCAAATAAATTAATCTACATTAATATTCAAAGAATAAAATATACGGCGTGTCTGTATAATTGATTGAATTGTATTGCAATTTTGATGCGAGATGTGTTTTACCAGTAGAAATAGAAAACATTTGAATTCTTGTTGATGAACTTGCAAAAAGTATAATAAAAACACCAATAAACCACAATAACATTTTAATTAACTACACGTGCTTCAACAACAAAGCTGTTGTCAAGAACAAAACAAGTAAGTATTTTTTCAGTTTAATGTTGAAAGACGTATAGTTTTTGCTTTACTTTTAACTTGACAGAATAATTTAAAATGTTACGACTCTTGCATAGTCACAAGTCAAGAATGACAGTTTCAAAATTTCATTCAAAATTGTAGAAATTTTAGACACGATTTCGAAAAAAAACAAAGTGGTTGTTTTTATTCCTCTAGGTATCCTTTTTGCTGAGCAAGCGTAAAAGAAGTGGCTGCACATTTAAGGCATAACCTCATTTTAATTCGTAATATGCTGTAAAAACATTTGCATTATGGTAAAAAAATGAGAATTAAACAGCAAAGAATTATTTTCCCATTAAACAATATTATTTAATAAAAATGAATCAAGGCATACTTAAGAATTGTTGCATTTAAGTAAATAGTAAGTCTTTAATTCTCAAATTTGTGTGAAAAGTTGTGTTTTCTTGAATATGGTCTGCTATACTAATTTAGTAAATTCACTCAAATTGATAAAATTTGCATATCAAAATTGGGTGAAGCGTTGAAAGTGAGGTACCTAACTTTTTACTCTGACAGTACTCATTTTAAATCATGGCATGAAACAGCGGTACGTGTCCCTTTTGAATTTTGAACCATACTTTGTCAGGCCAATTCCACAATAACATACTGTACAGGTTATGATAAATATGTCTCACAGATGATTAAATACAATTACGTAACGATTAATATCAATAATTATTATGCTACACTGGAGGAGTGCGATGCTCCACTAATAGCACTAAAGAGAGCCATACTGTTTCTTTTAAAGCTCCCCATCTCCTCGTGTGGCCAGAGAGATTCTCCAAATAGAACGGACAATGATGAGCAAAGCTTCTTGTAATTTTGCCGCAAGACTTCTTGATATTCCTGCTGATCTTGAAGTATCAATTTGTTATTAATTTGCAAAGCCGAATAACAAATCTTGACAAACTCTCTAAAATCATAACGTTTATTACCTGCGGAAGTATATAATGTGCATACCTATAGATGTCCTTCAGCTCCTCGACTTTTTCTTCCACATACATATTGCTCAGGGATGGATCAAGAAATACAGTGGCGTATACCAACGGTCCCGCATTTACCTGTACGCAAACGCTACCCTGTAACAATAACTGAAGTTTTTTAATATCCGTGGGACTTGAGAAGACAACATCCTCAAGTTCAGACACTCTCGTTTGCATTTCATCGATGGCCACCTCGATTGGACTCAATTCCATACTTCCCTTAGAGCATATCGGAATTCTCTTCTTCACATATGGAAAAGAATACTGAGCTAAAAATTTTGCATACAGTAAGGAATAAGGGCAAAATTTAATAAAGAATTAACTATTTAAAATGGTGCGCCTTTTCCATTGTTCCTCCGGATTGCCACGAATTTTACCGTCCTTTGTGAATGGAGTTTCAAACATGAAACGGCAAATATCATGATTTAATTCGAATTCGGTCTGTCGTTCCTCCAAATCACGCTTTTCAAAATATGGCGTCACATGAGTTACTTGTATGTATGCGTACTTGGGGTCTAATACGGTCACTTCAACCTGAAATGTAGTACAAATAAACCTCATCATATTTGATTGGGGTTTAGCATCGCGTCTGTGAACTTGGCCCGACCCATTTTGGATTTTGCAAAAAAGTTTACTCGAGAGATTTAATTTTTGATATTGATTTAACTATTCTAAAAAAAACTATGAGCGCGACTAGCTTCAGCTTTTGTACTCCACAAAATCATTTTCATTAATAGTTTTTGAATTTTTTTTAAAGAAAATTAAATTTTTTGCAAAATTACAAAAATGTTCTGTTTACTTCAAGTTTAAATCTATTCAAAACGAAACACTTACACCACCCAGACGGGTGGTAATTTTCAATTGAAGTGATTTTCACATTTGTGTATTTTTTTCACACATTTTTAATTTCGGCGTTTGACGAGTAAAAATTACTTTGTTTGTTGGTCTATACAATCACCAGAAACTCATTTCATTTTTCTTTTTTATAAACTACATTTTTACTAAAATGAATTATTCGATAAACTACTTGTTTGTATTATTCGCGAAAAACGGTCTGAAAATGTGAGGTTTTGGTTGAAAAATTGACACTTTCTCTCGCGAATAGGTCCAAAAGTATTGAATTGTTGCTTAAAATTAGTTAAGTAATCTGTAAACTCTCGAACTTAATTTCAATGAAGTAGGTATTTTTCACCCTATTTTGTAGATGAAAAAGGTGAAAGTGTTTTGACCCACAGGTAGACTAACCTCTAATTTTTAAATGAGTCTTTCACATATTTCTAAAAATAAAAAATATGCCGCTGATGTCACTTTTTCAATCGATCCGTCTGTTTGGTTGGCTATCAGATCTTAACTTCAAATCTTTTATTGTAAACAATTGTGTCTTAGTTAGGTAACCGTTAATTCTTGTTGTTTAACGCTTACAGAGAATTTGGTTGGTTAAGCTTCAGTCCAGTCTGTGAGTGAGGATATTCCAATCCCTTTCATCCCTGGCGCATTTCAAACGATTTTTAATTAGGTACTTTTTATTATTACTCATCATAAAGGTCTAACTACTCAAAGGGATTTCCATGGAATTATTTTTGTGTTTTCATGTTAAAGATACTTAAACAAATGATAATTGATCAGAATTTTTGACAAAAAAAAACCTGCAATGAGTGGAATTATTGTGAAGCTGGCTACATATAGTTTCCAAACGCCTCCCAAACAAACATCCAAAGTGATTCAACATACATAAATAATCCTTTGTAGTGAATTTTTTGTACAAATTTGTAATAGGTCGGACCAACCTGACAATCATTTAACCTACGGCCACAGAATCCTGTATCATTTTCACAACGTCAGCTCCAAATTTATCAGAATACTGCTTTTCCAAACGTTCCGATATTTCACTAAGAGAGGTCACTTTCGGTTCTTTGTACACATACTCCACCCCATTGTCTTCCTCAAAATACGCCTGACCATAAAAACCGACACGGTAAAAACGGCCCAGTAATCTCTTTCCCGATTTATTCACTTCAACAATTTTGCTGTAATTGTGAGCTAAATTCTGATAGCTCTGTCTTAGCAAATCGTAATTACGTTTCTTTTCGTATACCGGAACAATCAATTTATATAAACCTCCTAAAAGTTCGTATCGTTCTGCTTTTTCGACATACTCCACGCAAGTTTCCAGCTGTTCCACGAGGAGAAATTCAGTATACTGCACGTCCTGTGCGCCCGCATCCAGTTTAAGTCCTCGTTCGTCGATTGTTATATTTGATGATATGGAACTAAATGCTTCTGCGCCCCAATTTTGAATTTTTTTCAATTTTAAATACTCGGCCATTAAAGCGGCTATATGTAATTGACAGCATGCGGCCTCCGAAAAATTTCCATCCCGCACGTGATGCCTTGTCATGGTTTCGAGCCAAGTGTGTCGTAGTTCGGGCGTCGACGCGTACGAATTTGCCAAGCTATGCTGTAAATCGACTAGCATTTCGGGGTCATGGTGATGCTCTCGCATTTGAGCCGTCGCCATTAATACTGTTCGAATACGTTTAGTTAAATCTTTCACTTCACCCGGAAACCCGGTTCCTTTCATCGCCTTATCGCTACCTGCATAGCTATTGATTAGTGAGAGGCTTTCCTGAAATCTTGCATTATTTAGACCAATCACATTGCCTAGCATTTGTGAGACCGAGATTATAACTTGCAAGTGCACTCGAGTGAGTCCTTTGCGACATGTAAATTCGAAATTACTACGCATCAACAGATACAGAATGGCACAGGACTCTTGACGTACTAAACTTAGCCGACTATTGCAGCATCGCAGCAACTCATAACACAATCTACCGCACAATAATGCGTTGCCTTTAAATAAGACGACAGAATAGTTATTGATGAAAGCGCGAATAGCGGCAAAGACATGTTTAAATAGCGATTCGCTTTGGCCAATTTGTAGGAATGTTAGGTAAATGTCACACAGTTTCTTCATTATCGTATTATCACCCTCGGCGCTAAGTAGGTTATTGCGAAAATGAACGGCATACAGTCCCAAGCAGTCCAAAACGATTAATCCAACTTCGTTGGCCAAATGTTGCTCCATAATCGCTTGCTGTTTCTTTTGCACTTCGTTCTCCGTGTTTAACAAATTTTCACGATTAACAGTAGTGTACGTAACCAACGTACCTGTGTTCTCCACATTAAAATCGGGAGGATTCATTCGTGCAGGTAAAGTATGAGCTTTCAATGGTTTAGGCTTAGCACCGTCTCCTGTCGATGACTTTGCAACAATTACGTTTCTTTTTCCAATATATTTGAAACAGTTGAGCGACATTTCTAATACAGAAAAGAAGTTAACGGTGTCTCCATCGTTGCACTGTTGCCACCAAGACACTAACTGATCGTCACCTATGTACTTTACTATAAACAGAAAGCATAGCAGCACATCCTTGACTTCGTGTTGTTGAAATTTATCGTAGCGCTGCAGAAGAGGACTAGTGACGCTTAAACCTCGTCGATGGCTCGTGCTCTCTTCGTTTTTGTATGACTAAAATAAAATTAAAAAGTTAGTTACTTACAGTTTAAAAATCATAATATCAAAGGAACAACATATTGAACAGAATAGCTGTTGATATCTCTCATTATAGCTACACAGAAGGTGTAATAAGACCATCTATTTAACGACCATTATAGATTTAGTTTATCGTTAATAGCAATACTTGACAAATGCTTGACATCTGTTGTCAATGATATATAGATTTATCGTTTATTGAATTCCATGAATTTTCATTTTTAAGGGTTGTTGCAGTCGTACATAAAGCTTTGTATATATCGCGTCCATAAATAGGCTTTATGGGGACTCGTCTTGTTTATTTGTGCCTCGCTCGCAAAAAATCTAACTGAATTTACTAAGGCTGAAAATTGTTGCGGCCGACTGACCAGCTCCGGTCTCACATTTTGGTAACTGTCTAACTGACTATCATAATTTTCATTTATGTACAACAATATACCTACTATTTGTATAACAATTTTCAGCCTTATAAAATTTATTTAATACCTGTGTGTGTACACAAGTATAATGGTTCTCTGTCTATTTGTTTGTTTTTTTATTTGTGTTTCAATTACCTACTCTACCCGTCTAGTTTATTGGAACAAATTTTACATAAACTTTTTCTCTTATTATAATTACTTACGTCTGACTTGGTACTATCATCTCTCGCTTCCCGTACAATTGTGGTTTCTTGGGAGGTAATTGAATTTGCATCTCCGGAAAAATCAGAATCTAAACTTATACAACTATTTCCATTAACTACAGATTGTCCTGCTATAGCATCAAAAAATGCGGAATTTCTTAAATTCGTCGGACCATCCTTATCTATGTGAAGTGTAAATCGATAGCTTCTAGGCGTGTCACTTGGTGCAGAACTCTTGCCAAATAAGTACGAACTACTGGAGGAGATCCTATTAGCTACGTTACTGGCATTTGTATCCTCTGATTTTTCGTTAACGTCCAATCTACCTAAATTCTCAAGTACTATACTTAACCATGGAATATAAATTAATGCGATACGACTCATTTGTCCCTTACGCCCGTACCGCTCATCTAGTTCATGTTTTGCCATAAGATCTCTCAAAATTCCTAAAGCATTCTTACGTATATGCGCGACTTCGTTCAATGATGTTTTTATTTCCAACAAAAGCAAAGAGACGATAAAATGATGTTTACAAAATTCGGCGGAAAGGCAAAATTCTTGTAGGTAGTCGGGAGAGCGGCTTTTCGGACTTATTCTCGAATGTTGTATTGGAAGATTAAAAGAGATGTAATGTTCGTGCGAGCATATCACTTCGAGAAATGCAAATTTGAGATCTTGTAACGCTCGCGGATCGCCAGGATTGAATTTCTCCATGTACATGCCGATTAATCGAAAAACAAAGCCCCTATCCATCAATGACAGGCACTTCTGCAACGCAAAAATATCTGTAAGGTCACTTCAAGTTGCTTTATGTTATGCACCTTGCACGCAATGTAAGGTAAAGGTAGTTCTAATTCTGTTCCCAGTTTTTCAGTACAAAAATTATACACGAGTTGTGAGCACTGTCACACTCACATAAATTTGCTCAAGAATTAGAACACCATAATCTTATAAGCAAGGCAAAATGAAGTAGTGCAAAACTTGCACGGTACATACCTTTAAAAAATGTGCTAAGCCTCGATTTAGCTCTTGAGTTTCAAGAGGCATATCCTTATACTTTGTGAGAATATACGGAATCAAAACTTGTAGCATCGCCTCAATTCGCTGAGAATATTGAGCGGAGAACCTCTCATTTCTAAGCATCTGAAAGAATCGAAAATAGTAACGAGAACAATAACAAATCATTTCACTTACTTTGATTCGTCCGGTTGTGAGTAAATATTGCGCCATTCCCTTAATAATAATATCAAAAAAGAAGCTCGAATGGTGCATGAATTTATTTACGACCAAAAAATCTGTGTTGTTTGGATGAAGAATCGTAGGCAAATGTTTAACAATTTCCTCGTGCACCGTGCTGTCCTTTGTACTATTTGACTGTATAAATACATATTTTACGTAACTTTGTAAAACCTCCTTCCTACCGGCATCGCATACCATATTTATCAAATTGATTAAAACCCTAATAATATTTAAACCAATTTCGTCATTTTTCGTGATAACAAGAAGCATGAACAGCTGATTTAGTAAAGTAGGTAAAAATGTTATTAATGTCGTTAAATGTATCGCGTGTAGTGCCTTAATTATTTTACAGGTTTCATTTTCACTCGGCGGTGTCGATAGCGTGGGGTCGAGTAAACGTTCCGCTTGAGTAAATAAGTTATACAAATGTTGGTCCCTTGTATTCATTGTAGATACTAAATTAAAACTAACGGTAAAAAGTGGACGTTGATTATCAATCCACGCAATCTCCGGCCCGGCATTCTAACAAAAATAAAGACTGTGGTCATTAATTTCACATATAAAGAGTCACTTACTCCTTTTCCTAATCCGAACGGATGTATCGACAAATATCCGGGAGGAAGATGGGTCGCTACAGGTATCGACTGAGTGTCTACACATAATTTTCCCTTCTGTAATAGAGGAATCCAAGTGTATCCGACACAGTGTTCCACCCCGTTGTCACGCTTCTTTGACACGTCACAAGAAATATGGTAAAATGTGAATAACAAGTGGTGAGAGGCTTGCAAATTGATAGGTAATCTCACTTTTACTTCTTCGTACCACATTGGAGTACTGTTATGATGTAGTACTGCACAAGAAGCCTGGGCTACTAATGCCTTTTGACCCGGTCGTCCGTAAATGCACTAAAATTGCATTATAAATACGGGAACTTTGCCGAATGGTGGTTTTACCGGTAAAGCTTTCGCCTCTCGCCGATCCGAATCTCGCAATTCAACTATGCATGCAATGTTTCGTGCTCGCGTAAATACCTTTTGAGTATCAAAACTAAGACATTGAGGATATAGGTATAGGTGATTTACACATGACGTGTACGGATGTACATCTTTTTCGGAAGATCCTTCGAATTCTGTTATTTCTATTGTCGGGTCGTTTACGGGAGGTATGGGGAATTGTTTTAAAGGTGAGAAGGCTGTCGTTAATGAGTCTGTAAAAATATATAGAGTCTCACTAATACTGCAAGAGGGATGATCCTAAGCAAGCCCTAAATTTATGGTAATTACAAATGTCAATTTTTCAATAGAAAAATGTGTAATTCATGTAGCCCCAAATCAATTCAAAAATTGTCTCAAAATTATAGGATATGTACTTGCTTTTGCTATTAAAGTAAAAAATGTTGTTTAAGTCGGTAGAAATCTAGAATTTATTGCCTAGTGTAGCAATTACAATTTTTGAGTTAGACTCTTAAAAAAGTAGATACCTAAATATAATCATTTGGGAGTGTCGATTTAGATATAGCTCCTCCCTCACACCCGTAACCATTTTAAAATAAACTTTACACATAAATTGTGAGATATGAGTTTGTGTGGCATAGATGTCTGACTACAGCACATGAGTATATCCCTCCAACTTACCCTGTCCCATCATAATTTTTAGTTTCTTTATTACTGAAACGATTTCTAAAATTGTATGCTTGAGATATCAAGAGTTCCTTTTGATACAATCCTTGAATTTATTTAGTGTAGAGTGGAGAATGCAGTACGCACCGAGGAAATTCAGCTGACAGTTTGATTTATTGCCGTAATGTTTGTAGCTAATTTTTCTCTTTTAGTAACGTGAGTTACGAGTGGCCGCTTTATCAATAACTTATACTCTTTTGTTCAGTCAGATTTTGCAGTAGATACAAATCAGCCTCAAATACGAGGAATCCGCTGAACCAAAGGCCATTTATTTAGACATAACAGAGATTGAAGTTTTTACTGTGGGAATGCATTTCATAATTGTAATTCAAATTGCAGCTCGTTTATTCCTGGAAGAAGTAGGAGAATTTTGTGAAGATTGCTTGGGAAGCACCGTATGTGATTGATACTAATTGAGAAGTAATTTTTAAATACAAAATTACAGCACGTATGACAGACAGATAAAATGTATATTTTTCTCATTAACAACACTATTCATTTACAGGGCAACATACATTATTTATATTCTAAATTGCATAACACCAACAAATTTCAGTGTAAGCTCCCTACTAAATGCGCAGTAAACAGTGTCGGATACTGGTGGGAATTGCCTCATTGCGTTGAAAGTATTATTAACCTTCACCGGATTATTAAAATAACATCTTCTATTATATCCGAATGCCACGGGTATATAATTGGAAATGGTCATTAATAATTGATATAAAATGGGTAGAATTCCCTGGTTTACTGTTCAGTTAATGTAGTTAGTAGTAGGAGTCTGTGTAATAATGAAATTTGTTTTAAGGCAGTCATTGCGCGTAGAGGTTATCTTTTTCTTTCCGAATGCTTTCCCACTCGCTAGCTTTGCGCATTGAGTGAGATTCTTCGAGGAATAAACCAGCTGCAGTAAGTTTTAATTTAGTTGTGTTCAACTTTATTTAATAAAAACTAAATTAAAACTAATTTATATTAAATTGGTTTGTGACAAACTTATTCAGAGTTTGGTACTTACTTTCCGGAAGCTCATTTAAAGGAGATATTTTAATCTTTAAAGATCCAGGTATCACAGTCAATTTACTCATCTTATCCGGTTTCCTAAATTCGCTTAGAAATTTCAATAGTTCCTCATCGGAGAGCTTATTTCCTTCTTGTCTAAATATGGTCGGAAATTCTGGATATGTATCTAATTCATTACTGTATAACCTAAAAAAATGATATAATTGCACCGACTCCCCTTCGAATTAAATTCTCACCTAAATAAGGGTTTTGCAGCCCATGCAAACGGCATTCTATATTTACCCAGTCTTTGCCACGACGATAAAACACTTTTATGTACTTTTGCTCCCAATTTGGGATCCTTACTGGCACGAATGTAGGGTTCTGAACTCTGACAAATGCTACCTTGCAACATTTTTTCAATACGTATAACAACGTAGATATCCGAATGAGGATTCGTAACACTTAAAATGGCTTGCTTAGGGTACATTATCCACTCGTCCGGTACACCAGTGGGAATATCCGTTTTGGTGTGGTAAGAGAGACCATTGTCTTCAGAACTATTCTCGGTGGGTCGACTTAATTCGTTTGGCATTACAGAATGTACGTTAGAACTATTAATATCGAAATGAAAATTTTCGGTTAACTTTCTACCAGTCTTTGCATCAAATAGGCACAAAGTTGTATGGTACGGTTCGACCTGGCACAAAGTTTCTTTTTCGTCTATGGGCACTTGTAATTTAAAATTTATACTCTCACACCTTACTACAATTCTATGACCAAATAATTCTCTATAAGGCTCAACTTGCTCCGAGGAAACTATAGATGGCGTTTTAAAATTGGCACATGTCACGGGATAGAGATTAAATAGCTTCAAACGATTCTCACGTCTCGTATGTGCTATACTCATATCTGTCTCTCTGGCATACTTCATTAATTGTGGATTCATACTTTGCTCCAAACCTTTGAGGGTGCCATACTGCGACTGTGGAGATGGTGGAGGTGTACTCCGATCTTAAATATCTTTATTAAGTCAAATCGACAAATATACAAATGAGATACCCCTTTCCAAAGAAGCAGCTCGTTTCTCTTCTTGAAGTTTGTTTTGTTGTATAACAGAATTTAGTTTCGTTAACCAGTCCATAAACTCTTTCTCCGTATCGGAGGCTAGTACATATGATTTATGCCCCGCCGTCATACGCAGTTCAAAGCAAAATCTGCCTCGTTTGAGATTCTGAAACGAACGATAGATTTTTAATACCGCATACCTATTATCGAACAATTTACACTTAATTTGATTATACTCGTATGTGATCACTTATTCCAGTAAATTAAAGTAAGGATCGACGCACAAAGCAAAAAATTCAGAGATCCAGAGCTAACTGGAACGATGTTTTAGTATTTTTTTACCTAGAGCAAGAGTAATTACTGCTGCTCCGATCTTCTGCAGGGAAGCTGCGGTTCTATTATAAGTTTATGTAAAGTGCTAGTTTTTATCTTTTTAGTACATTAAACAAATTTTGCATATGTGAAGTGAAGTGCTCAAAATTTACTTTGCTCATCAATCCAGTGCATTATTATGCAACATTCTTAACAAAATGGCCAAAAGGTGATATAGGAACAGAACAAAATAGTTCTTGTTTATGCAATGTGTTTTTTCATTTCCCTGATGAAATTGGTGGAATTTTCAAGATTTATATAAAAATAATTTGGCAAACAATGAAGTCGGTCCCAAACTTTATTCTATACTCACGCTTCTTGTAGATTAGATATTAATATGTCCTGAGATGTGGTTCATTATGCCTATACTTAATCAAGCACGTTTTTTTCATATTGGAACTTAAGGTTGCATTTTTCCTAATTAGCGAATTGACTTAATATTCAGGTAAAGTAAAAATGGTCGGTCACCTTCCACATATTACGAGTACAGCAGTGCCAAACTTAAATAAGTCGCATTAATACCTTCCCCCATCTGATATATTCTTTACATTTGGAATCCATCGCTTTATTTTCAGGAAAAAAAGCCCAAATATGTTCACAAAAATACTAGCGTATTCTATTTAACAATTTTTAAATCAACAAAACATTCGAAATGGAGAATTATCTTCTCTTTAAAATTAATTCTACTTTTAACACGCGCGAGATCGCCGTGTAAGAAAAAGTGTCTCGCATATATTTAGTAGAGCACAAACTGTAATTGCATTCAAACACTCAATATCGTTGGTGTAATTACAATATTTTCTCTTCAGCCATAGGAAATTGTAATAAATACGTCGTTTATAATCGAATGGCGATGCTGTACACTCATTCTGTGGGAAGTGAAGGAGCCTTCGTACTTTGTCTTAATGCATGGTCAATTCGTGAAGTCCCTAAATAGGGCCAAAGAAAAGTGCCAACGCGAGCTGCATTGCTCACTTTGCCTACTGCGCTGGTCATTGTGCAATATGATGGATTTTGCAGTTTAGTGGTAATGAGGTTTGTAACATATACAGGCAATTTTTCTCCGGACGGATAGGTATAGACAACCAAAATAAATACGTGACTAACGGTCCCGAAACACTTTTCAGCACTCTTTTCGAATTTTTGAGACCCCTCTCGACGCTTTCCGTTTTAAAATAAGCACAACATTAATTAAATAAACGTTGAGCTAAGTTCGTAGTGACGTCTTAAAAAAAACATTTCGAATCACTCACATGACTTTGTAATGAAGAACCCGTCTTCCACCTTGAAGTTTATCGGGTTTACGAATAATTGTGCGCTTCGTTACTAATAAAACCGTAGCTTCTTATTTATTTTCTCTAGGAGTTGGAAATAGGGTGCAGAATTAATGGGTTTAATTTTATTTGTAGATTTAACTAATCATACCGTCTAATTTAAAGCCACTGATTGTGTGCAAACGAAGTTCGTCGCAACTTTTGCAGACCTTCAGGAGAAATATTATTACATGTAGAGTTGGGTGCCTATAGCTCGCTATTTTCCATGCATTGGCCCGTATGAATAAAAGGGAGCATATGCTTATACTTGCAAAATTCAAAGTAAATACTCGTAAGTGCCCCTTCATACTGGTCTGTTTAGCAGCGCTGCATTGCGTCTTGTCCTGCTGCTCAGCAGCGCTGCTAAGTTGCCCAGTCTGAAGGGGCACATACACATATGCTTCCTTTTATTCATATGAGCTATTGACATGGTTTTTTTTTACAGTAAACATAGCCCACATGTGTACTTTTGACTTTTGACAGCAACCTGGATAGCTACCTACCACTATAAATACAATACCACAATATTGTGTCCATATATTGATTTTTCCACATGCCCCCTTAATTTGATAATAAACAAAAACGGATTACCTTCACCACGCTAGTACAAAAGTCCATAACAATGGTCACCTTTGCATCCCCTTTCCTCTCGTCTTTGAAAAGTTCCAATATGTATGTACCATCTACCTCCTGACGTAAATAGCAATAACGTCTTTTAAAACTTTTTGATCCAATATTCGAGAACATTCTATCGTTACCGATCTCTGGGCCTTTCAATAAATACCCTTCTTTCGTTATTCCATCCATTGGCATTTTAACATCTTCAAATGCTTCCGTGTCAATATCAATTTCGTAAGTTTCCTCTTTAAGATCATAATTTTGTAATTTCGGCAATTCTGCGTAACTATTCGAATATACACAATACTTATAATGGATGAGATTCCAGTTACTCGAGTAGGTGTTTATGCACTGTCTAGTAAACAAATTGCAATTTTCTATCTCGTGACTAGGTGGTACGATCGCAGATGTTGTTCTGTACCGACGAGGTAACACAATTTGCTAAAATACCCAGTAAATAAAGGAAAACTGATTAGCTGCCGGTTACTTACAGATATATCATCAGAAGGATAAATAAGAAGTTCCCGTTGAGGGTCATTTTGTAAAAAGGTTCTATTTTTAAGTATAAAATTTTCAAAATCCAAGGGCTCCACTAATTGAGGTTTATTCTGGAAAAGAGTAGCATTTTAAACTTCCCACCATTTTTTATTTAATGAGACGTTAAAGAAGGCGTAAATACACTCAATTATATAATAAAATTTCATTTTTGTGAAGAATTATGGCTTACATTACTATCAAATGTAAGTTTAGGTGGAAAAAGTGTGGAAAAACTACTAAAACACGTACTTGTACGGTGCTTTCTTTAACCACTTGAGATACAGTTTCTCTTAGTTGTGCCGCTGTACCCGGTTTTCCAACGCTTTTTGTAAACTTTCTCTCACTCATTATATTGGCTTTTGTACTTTATACATTTTTCCTCCAGTGAACATAACATCGCTTTTTACATTTTCATTGATAATAAATTAACCATTAACCAATAAGTAAACAGATGTGATTGAAGGGCGGCAACATCCAAAAATGAAAGTTACAAAATCTGTACAACTTTTTTATATTTACGCAATCGCCATCGTTAATGTAGTCAATTGAATAGTGGTTTTTATTCAATGATGTAGTCTACAATTGAATAGAGGTCACGATATTTGCAAATAAAACGATAATTTCAGTAGTGAATTTCCAAATAGGTCTTAGACCCTTCCTTCTCTAATGAGTAGGCCATAATTATGTACCTTAATTTAATTAATGGCTAAAAAGTCCACAATCTCCTTACAATGCGCACGCACGCGAAGAAACTTCAGTTGCAATTAAATAAAATGTAGGTTAGGTAAATGTGAAAATGCGATAAATTGTATTCATAAGAGGCTATTAGGTATAATGAATAAACATTGTTAATATACATTTAAACTCAGACTTTGAAATGTCTTCGGTTACGATTTGTGAACATGGGGCTCAAGTATACTGTCCTTTTCGGATTTTATACTGTTGCAGCGAAACATGGGTCTTGGTATAAGTAACAACCTCAAAGTCTGCGAGTTTAAATGTACATTACGAATATTTATGTTTATTCATTATAATAGCCTGTGATGAAAACAATTGATTGCATTTTTCACAATTACCTAACCTACACTTTAACAATTTGCAACTTTGATTTGGCCTTGACGTTTCTTGCGCATGCGCATTGTAAGGACCATGTGGACTTTTTAGCTTAACGTCATGCAACAGATGGGACCATTGAATCGAAAATGACAACGGTAAACGCCTTGTTTTGTCAAACCTATTCTGTGGTATTACTGTTACATAACCTTACAATATTTCCTTTCTATTTCTGCCTTGCAGCCTGTGGCGTTCAAGTTCAAAGCCTTTTTTTTGCGATGCGGTTCAAAAAATAAGCAAAACCAAAAGTAATGTTTCTTCTAAATCAAAATGTGTTATAAAAATAACTAATTGAAAGAAGGAGTTGTCTAAATATAATTGTATCAAAATACGTGAACGTCTCGATGGTTTTAAAATAACCACTTCAAATTGTGCTGTGTGGTAGGTGGTACCCTACATGTGATTCCTCCGTTTATTTTTAAACATAAATAAGATGGAAGACGAAATAGATGATAAGGTGCTTTATCAAACTTATGTATCCCATATGAAACTAATGTCTCGCTTTGCATGGGGTGTTCCTTTAAATTTGAACATATCACCTACTGCCTATTTGATGTATATGTGGAGAATATTAAAAATGTATGTGTTTAAGCCGGAAATACTAATAGTGAGTACTATTGTAGTTGTACTTCTAATGTATCTACAAGCAGTCGACGTGTGGAGCCACACATTGTTAGGCCGTATACAACACACACTAAGTCGTACATCTAGAACCAAAGTACAGCGTTTGGGAGTGTTCACTACTGGTGATGTAGAAAAGTCGAGCTGGCATTCGAAAGAAGGACCGATCGCTGCGTACGCCGTCCAAGGACGAAGATCGAAAATGGAAGATCGCTTTGTTATTAATGAAAATATAAATAATACGGGTGTGAGCTTACTCGCCATTTTCGATGGGCATGGAGGAGATTTTGCAGCCAATTATGCTAAGGATAAACTTGTAGAAAGTCTATACAAGAAAATTGTATCGATTAAAGACATTATTAGTGGGAAAGTACCTGTACCGGCTGAGTGCAAGGAAGTCAGGGAAGAAAATGAAAAACCGAAATCTCCAAATTTAGTGGAACGAAAAAAAAGTTTTAAAAAGAGCGCTTCCATTACTGACGAATGCATGAAAAACAAGAAAGAAATAACGGATGTCGAATTGCTTAGTAAATTGGATAATCTTTCCAGGCCCATAACTCGCGAGGTACGATCTAATCAAGTTGCCGTGATTAAAGATGTCCCCGTTGTTAGTTACATCGATTCAATTGGTAAAATTGATTACGGAAAATTGCTGACCGATGAGGTTCTTGTCGCCGATAAAATGTTGCTCGAAGTGGCTAAGAAAAAATTGGACGTTGCCGGGACAACAGCGTTGATTGCTGTAATTGAAGACTCAAAGCTGTACGTTGCAAATGTGGGCGATTCACGTGGGGTTATGTGTGATAATCGAGGAAACGCAATTCCGCTATCTTTTGACCATAAACCGCAGCAAATGCGAGAACGTAAGCGAATCAAGGAAGCAGGCGGATTTGTTACGTTTAATGGAGTTTGGAGAGTTGCCGGTATTTTGGCGACATCACGAGCTTTGGGTGATTATCCGTTAAAAGACAAAAAATTTGTTATAGCCGATCCTGATATTTTAACGTTCGATTTAGTCGACCACAAACCTTTATTTGTTATTCTAGCGTCTGATGGTTTATGGGATACATTTTCGAATGAGGAAGCCATTGTGTTTATTAAAGAAAGATTACACGAGCCCGATTTTGGTGTTAAAAGCATTACTCTGCAAGCCTACTACAGAGGTTCGTTAGATAATATCACAGTTGTTGTTATTAATTTACAAAATTTTGAGTTTAATGTAACAAAATCGTATTGAAATTGGTGTGTACAATTGATCACATTTAAATTGCATTTGAAAAGTAATCAAATTTGTGATCATACTATACTAATAATGTACCTGTTGCTATGTATAAAAAAATGAACAGTATGTTAGTCATTTTGTAATGAAACTGTGATCGTTGATATGTAATTAGTAGTTAGTTATTTTTTGTTTTATTTATTGCGCTAGGAAGTTGTTTTATTATACATGATTTTGTTTTGTACACAGGTAGACTATTTTTAGTAAGATCTAAATAATGATAGTATTATTTTATTAGCCCAAATTTAATGTTTGTACCTATTTTGGGATTGAAATAAATATAGAAACTTGTTTCAATTGGTTTGTTAATTTATTTTGCTTTGTTTATATTAAAATAGGTACCTACCTAAAAATGTTTTTATTTGAAAAATAAAGAAAATTTGAAGTGAAGAAAATACCTATAACAATAAACGGAGAGGTCTTGCTTTTTCGCCAATCTGTTAGGAATCTTATATTTCAAGTTTTGCATAGAATGCTGTTGGAGTTGAGATGATCACATATGTAAATTTTGAATCAGTTTTGCGTGATTTTTCCCACAAAAATTCTTTATACATTAATTATAATATAAAAAATAGTTGTTAAAATAAAGTTTCGAGTAATAATTTAATATTTACATCCTAAAAAATGCCTTATGTGAGTTAAGAAATATGCGTTGGTTAGATACATATTACGCGCACACTTAATGTATATTGGTTTTTATACATACACATAGTGACGTACGCCGCCGAGACGGAACTATGTTTTTGGTCTCGTCACGCATTTTTGAGACGAGAACAAGGTTATTTAGCCTCGGCAAGACAATAGAAATAATTACACCTGTCCCCCCCCCCTCCCCCGTCTAAAGGGTTTCAGATTTTAAATATAATAACAAAAGAAGATCTAAACCATGGCCTAATAAAACTATTTAAAAAAATCAACAAAATTCATGAGGACTTCCGAAAACTGCCTCTTTAAAATGTAAGCGCCGATTTATACAAAAATAAATCTCCAAAATTTATAAAAAAAGGTGTAATATGAAAGTATCGCTTTTCTTTTATTTAATAGCGACGCCATATTGGATTTTTAGATGATTAAGAAAATTAATTATTTTGACATTTTAATTTTAAGTATACCTACACATACTTTATGAGTTAAGGGTCGAACTAATTTTGTCATCAATTTAATATAATTAATTATTCTTTAGTCGATCATCGTCAAATACAGAATAAAAACACTTAAAAAGTCGTGTCGCTAAAACTATAAAAAAACAAGTTACCTAAATACGTACCTAGTCACTCGCGACCACGAACTTATAAATTAAGATATAAATTCGTACTCGCGACCGACGAAAGCGCTTTACTCCGCACAGAATCAGTAATAAGTCCGGAACATGATCCGGAAGGAAGTGACTATAATCCAAAAAATCTTTTGCCGTTCTGATGCCGGGACTGTGCTGTGCTACACCGTATAAGAAAGACCATAACACATCAAAAGCTTAAACTGAGGAACTGTAGTAGTGATACCTATACAGACGTACAAAATGCGGACAATAACGTTCAGTTTCTTTTTGGAAAATGCGATCAAAAAATTTTGATGCCGTGTTGAAATCTTTGATGGCGAAATGTGTTTTTTAAATTTTTAATCAATAATTTATTTAATTTACAATTCTACCTTCAACTTCAATATTTGCTCGAATACCTACCTATCTATTCGGTTTATCGCTACGAAATTATGCGAATTATTTATTTAGCTACGTGTAATACAAATATCAAGAAAGTATGTAATAAATATGTAATAAAATACGTAATAGGTAAGAAGGTACATATCGAAGGAAACAAAAATGAAATGAAAAAGGAAATGAAACCCGAAAACACTAAAGGCGTATCCCAGGATTCGTCGACGCAACATAGTTTAGTAATTCTTCAGAATCTTCGCATACAAACGGCTTTTCGTGGTAACAGGCGACGTCGTGCCACGCAATACCGTCGTTATATACGTTGTTTAATACCGACAGACACGATTCAGTTGTGCCGTTAATATCGAATTCTGCGTTATCTGGCTGACGTTGTTTCTTGTGACCCGTTTGTGACCAGGGATTGTAACCCCATCCGCTTGGTACTTGATTGGTCGGTGAAATTTTGGCTCGATTTGCTGACCAAAACCAGCCGTAGAGACTTTTGGGCTCTAAATCGGCGCGATTTTCACATCCTTTGAAATCGCAAAGCCTTCCCGAAGTCCATATGTATGGTACATCATCTATCAAAAAAGATTGCACACATTGCAATTATCGAGACGAATACCAGCGTTCTCAAACTACTGACATTTACCTCTTTCGCCACTACATTTAAAGTGCGGGTAACTTACTTGATTGGATTAATCTGAAGATCATGTTGTTTTCTTCTTGTGATTCTATAGAGACCAGATCCATGCAATACTCGCGACAAATGTTTCTACCGTCCAACCAATCGACCCTTCTATTGGATAAACCTGGGACATGTCCACTGTAAAAGTAGTTGTGTCCACGGAATGCAAATTCTTTTGGTCCTAAACAGAAATGCGCTTATGTAAATGTTATTCAACAAAATGCGGCGTCCTCGAATTTTATTGTTAAAATCACTTTCTATTGATTTTTAAAGCTTTAGACAGGTAGATAGGTATGCCAATTTCTCTTTTAATGACGCCGGAAATTTTATATAATTAATCTAGGTGGTGTAGAATGGAGCATCTGCTTTAACGGATGCATACCTTTGGCAAAAACTCGGATTGATACCTATTTCAACAACATCAATATTAATGGAAGGTACCCATTCAAGTATCATGTATGAATAGTTAGATGGTTAGCTTCTGATTGAGTTACCTACCTATGTTATGTAACAGTAACAAGGACACATTCGTTGTACCTATATCCACTGTCGTAATAATGCGCTTTAGTAAATAAACAAAACGTGAGAACAATTTGAATCTTTAAATACTTTCAAATGAAGAAATTGTAGGTTACCTGTACTCGGCGTTGTGAAATCCCATTTAGGGTATAACTTATAAGTAGGTACCTACATTTTTGTTATTACCGATGCGTCAAATGAAACGATATTATATACTGAAATTATTGCTTTAGGTAAATAATAAATGGTAGGTACACGGCACCGCGATGATGGTTAATTCCCATGTTATACTCATATCATTTATGACCAGATACGTTCTTCACGAGCGCAATGAAAGTTTCCTAATGCATTGATGGTAACGAAATCATTACGATGTACAAAGTAAATTGCAGTCATATGTACTAAAGTTCAAAATTTATGTCGTTTTCTGAGTATTACTTATAGCTTACACATTGTATAGCTTGCAGATTCATATTAGGGTCACCCATTATATACAAGCCAGGTCGTTTGCAATATCCTATACACTTTAGATTAAGTAATAGATAGGTATGTATATATACCTATAGGTAATTAGATAGTGGGTTGTTTTGCACAGTACATAAAGTGCAATTCCTGTTTGTTGTTTTTAGGAGAAGCGGAAAGAATAGGTACCTTTACCTATGTAAATTTTTAGTTAGATTTCTGTATTAGATTTACTATAAAACGCCATTCGCACCACCCGTTTTGGACAATAGGAGGGATGATAAATTTGTAATTTAATTTTAGGTGACTGTGCGTGATTTATATTCTCACCACATTTTTGTTAACCACGCATTTAAGATTCCATTAAGCATTAGGTACCTACATTCATTCTTCTAAAAAGTATATTACGGTCGCAATTTTGGGATTTCATATATCATTTGAAAAAAAATTTATAGATAAATTGTAACAGAGTCTTAGAGACTGCGAATTGTGCTTTATATGGACCATAATAATCTACTCGTTTTACAATTTCATTAACAGGTACACAGGTAATTTTTTCACAGTGTAGGTACCTACCGATAAATTTGAGCTAGAATGATAGGTTAGCTGAAGCGTACGTTAAAATCGTCAACGATTATATTGCCACAATGGTTTCCATGGATTTTAAACTATAAGCTCCGTTTAAATTAATCAGTGCAAACGGTTAAGTCATACCTATTACCATAATATAATACGAATTATATTAATACACAAAATTTGATTTAACATTTGTATAAACATACAGTAAAAAAGATTTAAAAAGGTGTCCAATATATGGATGCGATATTATACAATTTTTGATTTATGAAGTTATATTTTGAGTTTTGACGATTACAATAAATGAAGCTTTCTTACAATTGTGAAAGAAAACAGTACCTATCTATTGAATTGAACAACTTTTTCTTCTATAAACGCCTATCATAACTGTCAGAAAAACGCGTGGGTGTTTGACTACGAATGAAAGCGTAAAAGAACTTTTACGTTTTACCATCAAATACCTACATTAATTAGGTAAGTATATTCATAATTATAATGATTATATTAACTTGCAAATACCTACATCTCTCAATTTACGCCTAATTTCAGCTAACGAGCTTTCTACTTTCTTATCGATCGCTCTAAAAAATGGTACTTACGGCTGGAGCATTTTTCCGGTACTGGCAAAGTTAAAAATCTTCCGGGTCGATTTGATCTTAATTGCCCAAAGGATGGAACAGCGACCAGAGTAAACAGAAATATGTAACAAGTCTTCATCTGTAAACACAATTTTGTTTTTAGTATCAAAAGTGAAATCGAGCAACCTTTTTCTTTGACCCACTGAACTTCACGTTCTTCTTCTTGCGCAAATAAAGAAGAATTTATACAAATGCAAAGGTTATTTTTACAACTAACTTCGCACTAACCCCAAGTCGCTTCACCCCCGCCCCCCATAAAAAGCACTTACCTTGTTTATATTTATACAAACTCGCACCTATCACTAAATCTTCTTATAAAGAGTGAGAGTTGTATTTATAGCGTAAGAGTCTTTAGTGTAAATTGGTGGGAAGTTCTGTGCTCCCCGGTTGAGACTATGAATTATTTATTTTATTCATTTTCGTTTGATCTTGTATAAAATTCGTTTAAATAAGTCCTAACTAACAAATTCATTACGATGCAACCTTGACCTCATTCGATGATGGCATTGCATATAATATGCACCGTGTAAAGAACAATGTGTAAAGAAGCTCAATTATTTAACGTTTGGAGTTTAATTAGGGCGATTTGAATGTGAATTGAGAACCCCTTACAAATAAGGGGACGTCTAACATGAATAACCTATAAGGATGGTTAATTAACTGAATAACATAGGAGTTTGTACCAGGATCTTAATAATCTTAATAAGTAGGTACCTACTTATAATGCCTAAATCATCCCGGACGTAGGGTTCAAGGTTCTTTCGAAAAATATGTTCATAAAACGTGTTTTCAAGTCTCCACCTACTAGGAAAAATTGCAAAATCTCCATCAGTGCCATCATCGGTTACACTTTCGCCAGTAGGTACCTAGTTTGAAGTCAATGTCAATTATAAACGCCACGTTAATATTAATGTTTGTCCCGCCGCTCATAATTTACGTCACCCCAAAGTTTAATATTATTAATTTTTTTTAAATGTTAATGGTATAATGGAATTGTTCGAGGTAATACCATCTTCCGTACCTAACGCTAAATTTGCATTGGGGTCAAATTAATCAAATGTAAATTATGGTACATTGACATTGATATTTGAAAGCAATAAAAAAGACAACTCGGTTCTTCCGAACTGAATTTAATTTGTTAAAATTTTGCAAAATCTTCTTTCACGTGTTTTTGGGTTCGTCGCGGGAGACATTATTTAACAACTATGGAAAAGGTATAGGGAGGTTTTTTGACAATATATCATACTATAATTTTATTAATCTCTGGAAACAACCGCGCCTTTTGGGATTTAAGGTGCCAAATCTACCCAAAATTTAGTTGTAGGCAAATCCAGAAGTTTATTTGGAATTTTCCTTTAAAATATAATGCAGATTGCAGATGACCTCTATACCGCCTATACAGCTAGTTAATTTTATAATACTTTCAGTACAATTAAATTTTGTGTAACGTCCTAAATTTCAACAAATAATAATATATGAATTGTGAGCAGTGGATGTTGCCCAAATTGTCTTTATTGCACGTTTTAAAAAGCAAATTTTTGCATAGGGTCGTTTTATTAACATAAAAGTATGTACCTATACCTAGTAGTGTTTTTCGAAATTTTATTACACTGTTGCATAGTAAGTCTAATTTTGGCAATGCCAATCAAAATATATGATAATTTAAGTCCTAAAAAGAACAGTAGGTAGGTAAGCGAATAGGTAGGTATATGTAAACAAAATACTAAATCTTTATTTCTTCATACACAGTTCTCTGGCGTACGAATTTTACGTAATCACGATGTAGATGTATAGACCTTGATTCCTTCCGAATCAACTATACTTAGCTACCTCTACCTACCTAATTGGATTATTACAACATTTCTTGAAGTACAATGAATGCATTTTTATTAGAACAGATTTAGTAATTAATATATAGCTGGAAATTTGTTTGTATAAGAGTTTGTGTGAGCCAAATCGTTAATGGACTATTGTTTTTATTTGAAACTGTATATATTTACTTGTCATCATCATTCATCATTCCTCCATGTAAACATATGTAGGTACCTTAGATCTAATGACCATTATGTACCTAAACGTTTTTAAATCAGGAGCTCCCCTAAGAGAATAAAGAATTATCCATTAAGTACATTCTAATAATTCAAATGGAATCATCACATACGACCTTGCTCTCATCTAACGGTGCTCACCTTGCAAAATAATTGCATTTCGATTTCAAGGTTTAGGTAACATTATAACTAAGTATATTATGATTATCTCATCATCGACATGATGCGAGAAACCTTCCAAAACCTATAATAAAATTCGTTATACTAATTAATAATTTGCAAGTATAGGTATACCCTCTAACACGCACCCTAAGATTTCACAATAAATTTAAGGAATTAATCAACTCAAGGATAATCATAAACAATTTTTAATATATTCGCGGAAAATAGAAACCGGATTTACAATAGATTTCTTAGCAAAAAGTATTTCCCAGGAATCTCTACATTCATAGCATACCGGGTGGTGCCTAGCGCAACGCAGCATAGGGATTTCAATGGTAATTTCTTTATAGTCAATTACTAGCTCCCCTAATTATTTTAGAGCAAAAGTCTAAATATGTTTCTTTTAGAGAAAAAAATACTGCATCTGCTCATACTTTTAGTTATTATTTTCCGTTTTTCAAAACCGTAGAAATCGACAAAATAAAAAGGTTCATTTTACAATAAATCAAGTATGCCTTGGAATTACCTAAAAAAATGATCAAAGTCCTCGTGTGAGATCGAAGGGACTTCAGCGCATCTTTGTGTGGCAGATCAGTGTTTTATTAGCCAATATTGACTCCACCATCAATAAGATCTTGCCGAAAGCTACCACGTTCACTTTGTCGGTACCATTTTCTCACTTACCGTGCACTCGCAATTCGCGTTTGAAGTTTCGACTCCACCATCAGTAAGATCTCGTCGGGGGTTACCACATTCCCTTTGTCGACACACAGTTCCGACGTCCCGTTCATTCGTAATTCACATTTTGGTAGATTTCGCTAAAATCCCGGCATAAAATCGTATTCAACTTTTGATTACTTCACATAGCTCGACCTTCTATTAGTGACACGAGAAAGAGAGACCGCGATTCGCGCTGTAAGAAACTTTTGGGCGCCCAAAGTCGACTACCCCTCGAAGCGCGCCGCGCAAAAGGTGGTTTATTTCGCCCCTAGGAAAAAAAACAAAATTCCGCCACGCAGGAGTTGTGCGCGTTGACAAGATCTTCCCGACGACACCAATTAATTGAAAACAGCCAGCATTTACTGTGACAGAGTGTTTGTGTTGCAAAAAAGACTACTCCGATTAATTTTCAATATTAAATACAACCATTCGTGCCGAGGCGTTTTCCGCAGCCATCGAATTCTCACCTTGTTTTCCATATATGTACTCCACTGTGTGACTCACATACATATGCACAAGAATACCTATTTGCTCAATAAAGATGTGCACACTTACGATACTAGACACAAAGATAATCTCCGGCTAAGTAAGCCACGACATTCTTTTTTTAAGAAGTCGCCTGAGTATAAGAGCGCTTTATATTATAACTTGTTGCCTAGTGCCTTCAAAAACTTGACAAAACCACAATTTAAAAGAAAAGTTAAAGAGTTTTTGTCATTAGGAGTTTTTTATAATGAAAAAGAATATTTAAATAGATAGATGAAGTACCCCACCAATATGTGTTTAAATTATACATTTCTATGTTTGTTTGTTGACGTGTAAATTTGTTGTGTATACAATTGTTATTTACAAATAAAAATGATATGATATGATATGTATCTGAACCCTTTCCAACTGCTTAACCTCGATCTATTAGTTATTACGATAATAGGTACTGGGCGGGGAAACAAAATCCACACATTAATTTTAATTTGTTACCATTAGAAATAAGAAACTAAAATTAAACTTTTTTTGTTGGAACGAGCATTTTATAGTTAGGTACATATCAGAATTTGAGAACTTTCATTTTAAGAATATGTATATAGCAATTATAATTCTTTCTTATTTTTTTGCCTTCTGTTAATGTGTTTTTTTTTCGTCACAGTGGCAGTAGTAAACGCTATTCTATATTATTCTTTGAATTTCAACAATCTCTTCATAAGTATTATTGGCCATTGTAGTATTGCTTATCGTCTGAGTATGTACTCTGCCTGTTAGAGTTCAGAGTAAGTACTCCATTGACTAAGGAAATGATTCCTTATTCAATGCTACTACACCAAAATAAGCATTATAATTTTATTATTATTATTATTTTATTATTTATTAAGTCTTACGGGAGAGGCCCCAAAAAATTAAGGTTTTGTGTACAATTCACATATACAAAAGGTAATTAAGCTTAAATTACTGGAAAAAGGAGATTAAAAATAAATACAGTGAGCAGTAATACCTACATACTAACTAAATTAACATTGGTATAGTATGATTTGTCGACATCATTTAGTAACAACTTAGGATTATGTTTAAGTTCAGATAAACTAACCTATTATTTCAATTTGCGGATAGGAGTTTGCGAAACGTATCATTCTTATAATCGGGGAATGTTGTAAATATAACGTTTTATACAGTTTTATGCTAAAAGATTGACTAAACCTAAGAATTCTTCCAGGAACATTAAATGTTATTAATTCCACCAAATATGACGAGTCAATACAACCGTTTAAAGGTTTATAAAAAGACAAAATCGAGAAACTGACGCCGAGCAAGCAAAGTATTAATGCTTAATACCTTAAGAAGGGAGAGGTAAGAATGGTATGCAAATGAATTCAGACGTAACCTAAACCTGAAAAAACGAAGAAATTTGTGCTGCACCCTTACGAGTTTTGAAATAGGAGTGGAATAATAGGGAGACCAAACTTGGAAACAATTGTATACTTCCACCAAAGAGTAACTAATAATTATTCTTTGCTTCCACATTGAAAATAAAATAAATTATGAACAACAAACCTTAAAAATCTTTCTGCATTTTTAATACCTAGGCCAATATTTTCCTGAAAGATCTTTTAATTTTATACTGCAAGTATGATATGGTTGTAATTTCTTACACCTTCAAATAAACAAGATTAACATAATCAATATATTAATTGATGAATTTATACAGTTATAATAATACAAAATGCAGTTAACTTATCTACTATTTTTACTTTTTATAGAATATTTTATTCATAAATACATCACATAAAAACTTATCTAAATAGTGTTGCCTTTAGTAATTGATATCTATAAGCGGTGGATAAATTCTGCTTTTTAAATCATAGAGTAGTCTAGACAAATTAGGTGAATTAACAATTTCCTGAAATAAAATACACAGAACAGGCCGAGTAAGTATCTTAGTTTAAAATAAATTTTTTTCATTAATGGCATACCTATAATACAAATATGATATATCTTTGATAACAAATGTATCGTTCGAACCTTACATCTACATTACAGAATCAAAAATTAAAAAATTCTGTATGCGTAAAAATGTGAAATTGCCAATTTATAAGAATCAAATACCTAACATTTAAAAACAACAATGGAAACGTATTAAAAATATTTTCTAAAATAACTAATCGATAACGAACCACTTGCTCGGTTTTCCCCCTTCCCAAGTGCGAAAAAAATGTATAACCCCATTTATAAAATATCCTACTGCAGAGGATGGAATGTCTCTCTACATTAAGATATTCTGAAAAGCTTCAGAGATTCGTATATGACTATTTAAAATTAACTAGCAAGCGCAATTGTCTTTGTTAAACTGTTGGTCATTTGATAATGTATTACGTCCAGGTTGGGAAGGTTTATGTTGTACACCCGATTCTGCTGCGTTTAGATCCAGTCGACCGTCTTGAATACTTTGATAGATCTTACGTGCAGTCTCCAGGAAAGCCTCTTCAACATTCTGACCGCTGCATCACAACGTGATATTTACGAAGTTATGACATAGTTTACTTACGTTTTAGCACTGGCTTCCACAAACATAAGTCCGTTTTCGTCCGCAAACTGTTTTGCTTCCTCGTAAGTTACGTCTCTTTGTCCTTCTAAATCGCACTTATTACCAATAAGGAAAATAACAGTACTGGGATTAGTTAAATTTCTGGTGTCGGTTAACCAACTGCTTAAATGGTTGTAGGTGGAACGGCGAGTTATGTCGTATACCATTAAAGCACCAGCGGCACCTCGATAATATGAACGTGTAACTGCTCTAAAACGCTCTTGTCCGGCTGTATCCCATATTTGTAATTTAATCTTTTGGCCCGCCACTTCAATTATACGAGTTCCAAATTCCACTCCAATCGTGTGCGGACAATCAGACATAACTACAAAGAACTCGCTAACATGTGTGGGATATTTACATTAAAAACTTACACTTCTTTTCCGTAAATTGGTGGAGCAGACATGATTTTCCCACCCCCATATCTCCGATAATTATGTATTTAAATATGTAAGAATAATTATAAGGACCAGCAGACATTTTAACTGTGAACAAAATATACAAATAAACACAACATGTAGAGCCTTTGGAATTACACAAATAATCTGCTTCTTCCTTGGAAATATCAAAAAAATTATGGTAATAATGAAGTGGAAGTACCTACACAGAATTTAATACTCGATTATACACCGTTAATATTGAGTTAGACAATTAGATTTTATTCTGTACCAAGTAATTGGAAATAAGCACTAAAATCGCATAAAATTTGGCAAAATTTTGTACAATTCTAAAGAAATAAATTATTTCTGCACACTGTCAAAACTCAAACGTTAAGCCATATATATAAAGAGAAGTATATGGATAAACGAGTGGACACGCCTATCGCCAACGTTAGTGGATGGAAATATACTTCTGTCATTAGTTGGGAACTAGGCGCTAATGCGCTTGCCTGTTATTATGTAGTGTTATTTACCAAGCATTTACTCCAGTTTGACATAACGGATTGAGGTTAAATTGTTTGTTTTGTTTATGAGTTATTGAACTTTTGTTTAATTTTAATCGTAAAGAAGCCTTTCGTAGTTATATAAATCAGTATACGTAAGTGATACACATTAATTGTAAAGGAATACCTAATGTTTGGCAATTTTAGTGTGTTCATTACTTAGAAATAAAGAAATGCAGGTACTTGTGGGAAAGTGGATTCTTCGGTTTCATGGCACAAGTAAGTTACAATGCAATTATCTGCAATCAATTCATTTATGCCATAGGTGCTTGTTATTAGATTCCCAAGTGAAAAAAGCAACAAGAATCGGTGACTGCAAGCATGTGAACTATCGGAATTCGATGATGTAAAAACAAGGTTGTGTTCTCGTCATTTTAACCGCTATGACTGCATTGATTTGGATGCACGCAAGCATGATGGGGGCACGAAGTTATATGGGGGTCACTTAACACCTAAAAGATTTCCAACTCGACAATATTAATTTTATTTTAAAATCAGTAAATGTCTTTTAATTTAATTGTGTTTCTTTGAACATTGGTAATGTATCACTTTATATTATAGCTGATGCGAACTTATCCAATTTCATGTTATATTCAAGATATAATCCCTATAGGTACCTATATTATTTCAATTGCAAATTAAGTTTCTAAATCGTTACAAAGTTTGCCTTCGAAGTTGAAGGGTGTAACCGTAAACAAACTCCGCTGAGGATGCTCGAAAGTTCTCCGTGAAAATGCTACAGTTTCCAAGCAGAACGATACAGCGATTGGTCTTGGGAGGGTGGGCCTCGGCCAGCTAGCATACTTATCTAAAGACATCACAGGATCAGACAATAGTGATAGGAGTTGGCAGGTGGAATGGGGCCAATGTGGTGAATATGAACCTGCATGAAGCGAATAGAAGTCTGGGTGAAGTTTCCGAATGGTGCGTGGTTGTGTTTACATATGGTAATTGCACACAATAATGGTTTAATAAAATTTTAACCCTATTTTCGAGTTATAGGTTATGAAATTTGAAATTGGCGCTACTTAAAAGTAGGCGGAGAGAAGTAAATATTTACTTGGGGAGTTCGCGCATAAATACAGAGTTGAGGACTAAGGAATAGGGCAGCTCTCTTTTATGGCGAACAATTTGCACATTGCAATCATAGGCGGTTATCCATATACTTCTCTTAAACCTCTCGCCAAGAAAGATTGCCGGTCATAGAACACTAGATCCCGGTCTACAATCTATGTTTTTCTAAAGATGTGAGCAACTTCCGGGATAGTATCGTGTCAGTGTTGAACAAAAAGACTTTTCGTTCAACATTGGCACGATCCTATTCCGGAAGTCGCTCGCATCTTAAGAAAAACATAGATTGTAGATCGACACAAGGTGTGCTGTGACCGGCAATCTTTCCTGGCGAAAGTTATATATATATATATATATGCGTGAAGCAAGCAGGGAGGCCATATTTTTATCAGGTTGGCTATTGTTTTCCATGTTTAATAGTATATTATATACCGCGGGACTGAAGTAGTACTTTTAATCCCGAAGGTAAAGTTTATGGCCCGACCGAAGGGAGGGCCATAATTTACCTGAGGGATTAAGACCACTACTTCAGTCGCAAGGTATATACGATATTTTTCGTACTTCCGAAACTGAAACACTTAATATGTATGGAGTTTGAGAACGCGTTCTTTCAAAAAATCGCTGCTCAACAAGTTACCATAGGAACTGTCATTGCTAGTGTCATAATTTTGGTGGTGGGTGACAAACGTGTATTTGATATTTGGTTTGTTCGTTTGTCTGCACTAATCAACACTGGTGTACCAAATGCGTTCGTTTGTCTGTTTGTAACTGCATGCATTCCGTTCGTTTGTGTAGTGCAATTTGCCCATTTTAGTTCATAACAGCACAAACTTTGTTCGTGCATTTTAGTGCGAGCAACTTAGTGCAGCATAAATTAGACGTGAAACGACCGTTCTCATAACCATAAACATTTTGAAAAAACAAGGTGGGGAATCTGCGATGAATAAATTATTGGAAATGAAACTTTTATTTCATGATATTATTGAACAATTTATAAGTAGATCGTCAAGTGAGGAAGATAATATTGCAGAGGTCATACAACAAGTAAATGAAAAATAGTTTCCTGTATAATAAATAATAAATTTATCACTCATGATGCAGTACAAACGTTTTTTGCTGGTTATTTATTTACTATACCCTAAATAAGCGTTCGTTTGTTAGATGCCAGTGCATCAAAAACTGATTACTCCAGCTTACACCGTGACGTCACATCAGTGTTGCACCAAACCAATCGAGCAAGACAAACGAACAAACCTATTGATAAAAAGCAACCAAAAGGTAAAGAATTGATACCACTGAAATCCAAAAGCTATATGAACAGCAGTACGATGCGTTTAAGAAGTAGTGCCGCATACAAAATGTGGAAGAACCTACTGAAATTGCTTTGTTAGTAATTTCATCCTTCCGGGATTTTCGTAAAATTTAATCCCGGCGGGACAAAAAGTGGCACTTCAGTACTTGTCATAATGGCGAGTGAAGTTGTCACTTTAGTCTCGGAAGTACGAAAAATAACTTATTGGTATTTTGAAACCAGAGATAACTTGGATTGTCTTATTATTATTATGATGTGAAGACTAAGGCCCGATGCAGCCCATGGTCATTGATCACGTAATCCTCTCAGGATTTTTGTGACTTCGCTGACTAGTTTCTAGAGTAGGTAGATTTTTAAATAAATTAGTAAAAAGGTAACATCTACATATAGGTACTTTTAGAGTTTTCTACTCCTCTATTTCGCTAGGGGCTAACTTTATTCCTACCGAAAACGTGATGTCTGCGCCCAGCAGTAACATCGTAGGCACACAAGATATACTTTGCCTGTTCAGCTGCCTTTCGCCGTAGAATTTCTGAAAGGTTGTAGCCAGAATTGAGAACTTGACAAACTACCAAGAAATATAGCAAAGGCTGCCAATGTTTTCGTTAAAAATCTGATCAAATTTACTTATTACCTGAAAAATGGAAGAAACCAAAGAGTAGGATAATGAGATGGTTATTGTGAGTGCCCTCGGCTGTTGCTTGCCTTGCTGAGAGCAGGAAGCATATGTATCCGCGGCCACAGGACATGGTGGAACTCTGCATGCATGATATAGAGGTTTCGAAGATGGAGCAAAGATTTAAGTTGTTTTTTTTATGTCATATTGTCGCAATAGTATCCAAATATGTTTCTTAGTTATATGTACTTTCCTACATTTATATAGGTGTCATCTCATTCCATACAAAAGCTGTACATACATTTGTTAGTTATTAAGAAGATTGCAGCAAATTATATATACCGAGTGATTACCCCAAAACGAAAAAAGTCAATTAACATGAAAAAAAGGTTGCAGATTGTTGTTCCCCATGTTAACTTAAGACTCAACTTACAGGGTTTATAATGACACCAATCGAAAGAAGATTTTTTCTCATCTAATGATATACGAATTAGTTAATTTTCGCCGTTGTCTTTTTCTCCTTTATTTTAACCAAAATTCGGCAAAAAATCCAATTAGCACAATCAATTAAGCCACAACTAGTAAGACAAAAAGCAAAATCAAACTTTATTATTTTTTTTTTGTACTTAATAGTTATTTATGTTATTTTGCTAATTGGTTTTATTTTTGATAAAATAATGAGAAATACAACTGAAACTTAACTAACAGGCATATCATTAGAATGAAAAAAAAATGTGTTCCCAAATGTTGGTAGTTTTTAACAGAGAAGTTGTTGCTTTTTATGAAGCGACAATAATTACACATGAAATTGGTATGTCACCACAAGTAGTAATGGATTTAATTTACTCACATATTTATTAGTTTCTTCTATTGCAAGCAATGTACAGTATAAAAGTTTAAAATAGACTAACCAGATTGTCCTATAATTATACTTCACATGCCATTAGAAATTTTATGAAACAAACTAGAATATAAAAGCACGTAGGAGGTACTGTATGGTTATCAAAATATCCACAAATTGGAAAAAGAAGCTTATAAATTTCAATTTGTCTAATATAAATGTAGAAAATAACATGGCCAGCAGTATAGATAAACGTGATATACTAACAAAATTAATGGTCGATACTCTCGAACTATTTATAAAACCATTTCTACAATAAAAGTAATTGGAGGCATTTTCAGACAAAATTAAATACACTAGAAATACTTTGGTAGATCTATAAAAAAATAAACACGATATATAATTTCAATACCAAGTTCAATCACGACAAAATAGCGACACTCCGTCGAGGACAACCTCCAAAATGATTGATATTGTCTAAACTGGACCATTTCTTAAAACCGTTCTTCAGCGCTTCCGCCGTTATTTTATCCTCCATCACAAGAGACATGGCTTCCAATTTCTGCGCTCTCGATTTGCTTAACGGTTCACTGGGGAAGGCCAAGTCGTTAGCTTCCGCGAGACTTCTCAAATCAAAATAATACTTTGCATACACGCTGGAAGGTACGTTTATGTTAAATTGCAATAGTTCCAAAAATTGTCTTTCCAGCTCGTTCATATCTTCTACGGTGATCTCTTTTAAAATTTGGCAATAATCAACATTCCATACGGCTTGGTCATCCCACACTTTGGAAGCGAGCAAAATAGCACCTAAAACGATTCGCTTCCAATTTGATGGTGCTATATCGAGTTCTGCGTAAGTAATTAATCTTTCTAAGTATACTAAAGTAATAATGGCACACTCCGCCGTTAATTGTGCAGCATTAAACAACGTTCTTACAAATTTATAAATCTGGCGATGTTCCGGATTGTGTTTATCATAATCATCACTCACACCTTCTCGGGTTAGAGGATGCAGCTTTTCATCGAATATATCCAATTCGCGTTGGGAATCCCGGTTTTTTATATGATAATAAATTGCTAAGGCGACACACTTTACAGTATTTTTTAAATTAGGCTGAGAGACGGTACTATCGTCTAAATAAATTGTGGAACAGGAACTACTTTTCTTAAGTGGCCGTAGGTCGGCTATTTGGTGTTGACTCTTTCTGCGTATTAAGCCGTTTTCTAAAGCTTTCGATTTTTCTATAAAAATCGTTTTTGCCATAGGATCTTGTGAAGGATCGGCTTCGCCATCGTCCGCTTCCCGCTCGCTGATATGTTGTAAATTATTAATGCTCACTTCACCTTCGGGTAGTGTTTCTTCAAATGGGATTATCACACGATGGCTCGGTTGGGGACTCGAGTACGAACAGCAACTGTTTTTATTACCCATGATCTTTTGTTTTTACTGGTACATGCGGAACTCATAATTTAATTGAGTTTTTTGTGCGTCATGTCATTTTTGAGATTCTAAATTATAGGTAGGTAGTCGCCCTTTAGGAATAGGATACGCCGCCTCTGAAGATATTCAACACATTTGCCCACCAGAGTCTACGCCTATTTTTAATCTGCCGTCAAATTATAAAATTGATAGCACTGTGTATTTCTAAAACCTTATCACTAACTTTAATCATCTTTGCATATTTTAAGCGTTATCTTTAACAATCAACATTTTTATAGTTTAATTGGTACATTAAACAATTTTTAGTTAACGTCAAATTTATGTTGAGCATATTTTCCTTTTCTAGTTAAAGAAAAAACTAATCGTGCTACTTTATTTAATTTTCAATGTAGATGTAGATTTACGTAGCAGAACCACTAAAAACTTGAAAGTCGTAAATTCACTACAGAGTATCTACCTACCATAAAATACAAAATTGCTACCTGCTATAATTTTATACAAGGGAGCCAAAAATTATACAGAAAATTAAAAACATTGTGCACCGTTTCAATTATCGTTCGACGTGCTTATCATTTTTTGCGCGATCGAATGAATTAAAATTATAAATATGCATTAAGAAATTAACAAGCAGAATAAATCGAAATGATCGAATTGTAACCAGTTTATTTGTCAAAACTGAAATTAATAATTTCATAAAATTGTGCATGTGTCTGATGTAGTTTGCTAGTTTTGCACTTCTGTTATGATTTTATGAGCGAGGTATTCGCCGGTGGCCGAATGGTATGTCGAAGATTCTTTACAGAACAAAATTGTAATTGAAATGTGCTAAGAAAAACGAAAGCACATCTTCAAACACATTGATCTCTATTGCTTCAGGTTTAAATGAAGAACGCGTTCTTTCTATAGGAAACAACAGCACAAATTTTAACAATAATTAAATATTAAATGTAATGTAAGACTGTTGATTTTGAACCGATTGTTTTTAAAAAGGGGTCGGTAAGTATTTTTTTTCACTACTAGCGTCTGATGACATGATTATTAACCTTTTTCCACTTGTAAAGTAGGCTTTCTCGGCAATTGTTCAAAGTGGTTAATAATGTGGACATTATTAACTGGTAGTCAATAATGAGGACTGTCACGCTGTCACTTTTAGAAAACACAACTCAAAATTTCGCTCAATCAACGTTTAGACAATTTCTCTAAAATGAATAATTGCCACCATCCGCCATTTCCAGAGAAATTACATACCTAAAATTATCACATTTTGAAAAAATTCGAACGAAATTACTCCTTGAAAATATCTCAATGACAGAACAAAATACGGCCTTCTTGACTTGTACTTCCACGCACTTGATTGACATGTTAAATTAATAAACAACAAATTCTGTCCAACCGTTCACTTTCTTATCAATATAATATGTTAATTTAGAGGACTTCAAGTACTAGTAGTGAAAAAAATAATTAATAAAATGACGACTGTTTTCTTTTATATTATTTGACTCCGGTTCTTGAGTTGACTAGTGATACTCCTAAACATCTGACTCAGTGCTATTGATAATTTTCACGTTTAACAACATGACGCATAAAAATCCCTAAATGTCACCCCCGTAGTATCTATTAGGTGTAAAGGATTTGTTGTCGCTGTCTTTTGTGTCGATAATAAATAAACATTTTCGGTTATTGTCATAAAATTAATATCTTTCATGAATGATACACCTTCAATTATAATTGGACGAACAGTTTTTCGTTGGCAGAAGGCATTTACCTAAAAAGATGGGTTAAACGACATTTTTTTTAGTCTGCTGTCCCTGTTCACAGCTTTGTTGTGCAAGTGCAAACCATTGCAATGTTAATTGCTTGGTGTCCGTTGCACCAACTCTTGTAACTATGGAAGCAGATTCTGCAGGAAGCAAAAGTCTAGGTAATTTGACAGTGACAGGTGATGTTTCATTTACTAAAGCATCTTCACAGGATGCTCTGCAGTGTTGTGTTAAACTAAGTACTATGGAAAGTCCTGGGTCCTCATATGAGAAGAAGGATCATACGAAGCATCATTCCAATAACAAAAAAGTAATCAAACATGCACTTCGACAACAAGCAAAACGTAGAAGGAAAAATACAACAATAGCGGCTGGAAACTCTGCACCTGTACCTCGCATTGTCGTGAAGCCACTTCCCCCACAGCCGGTTGAAGAAGTAATTCAAGTAGTGCCTCCCGTTAAACCTTACACGACCATGAGAGAAGTGCTAGCATCAATTCCCGGTTTTAACATAAAACATCGTAAAAGAACTAGTAAAAAATTATCTACGGCCGCACAATTAGAGCAAACTAAAGAGGGCTGTGTCGATCTCGAAACTCCAGACTCTATTCTTGTAAATACCAACTTGCGTTCCTTACTTAACAAATACACATTTGCCGTTCTCCCCTCCCTATATCAACACAAATTGGTACAGTTACTGCCGATCGTAGATAGGCCTCCATTGAACAGTTCAACGGACGTGGCAACACGACTTAGCGCGTCAGGTTTGAATAACGAATTCTTCGCTCGTGCTTGTTTGGAATGGCAGGAAAGATTGGCGGAAGGGGAATTTACACCGGAGAATCAACAAAAATTGAAGACGGAAGCCGATAAAGAGCGGAGTCGATTAGATCCGTGGAAATTGAAGCATTTCGAACCCATTTGGGGTGACCGGAGTAATGGCAGGGGAGATATGGTTTCCACAAAAGAACCTAGTCCATCGCCTCGACCTCCCATAAAAACTACGATAAAATTGAGACCAACTACTTCGATAAGCAATAAAAATAAACCCGCACCTTTTATAAAACGTATTCGAACAGTGGGTGCCGTTACAAGATCTTGTACTAATTATAAAGTAGAGTTAGAAGCCTCAAATCAATTGGAATCCATCACCCGGTCTCCAATTCCCGATCTTTTACCGATTAAGATGCATAAATCTCACTTAAATAAGGTTAAAGACATTCACACGGTCAACCACCATGTGGTGGAGGATTCAAGGTTGGTGGAGGAGGTCTCCAAAGAGGTAATTTCGGCCGACGTGCACGAGATTCAAACACCCATTATTAACATTAGTGATACTATAATGCAAACAAATGAAGAGACAATCATTAGTTGTAGAGATAAACGACGGAGGTCTTTAAGTTCTGAATCGGAACGAAGATTGCCTAAACGATTAACACCAACACGAACGGAAGAAGTCGAAGAGGTTGCTGAAGTGGTGCAAGAAATGCCAATAGAGACAGATTTAGTCTCCAATGTCAAGAAAGAAGACGTTGAAGGTAATATGTTTACCTACTATCAGATAATTAAAGTAGTTTGCTTACTGGAGGTGCCAGGTGGGGCTTCTAAAAGTTTAAACACACTTTTCTAATGGTAGTAATTTTAACAAAGAAAAATTCAACCAAGGAGCAATTTAATTTTAGTCATCTTTAAGTGCGATTCATTTGAGGATTTAATTTAAGCCAAAGTAAGTCGGCATTCCTCCTACTTTAACCCTTTAACTTGAAAACAAATACATGAATCAACAAAAATGGGCACTTGCAAGTGTCATAGAAGCTCGCATAGAAGTCATACAAATGTGAAGTGTTTTTCGCACATGTTGTACACTATACTTTTCTTATTATGATTGCTGGTGATGGCTGTACTTCTTTTTTGAACTTGTGATTCATTAAACCATGAAGTAATTTGCATGGTTTAGAAAAATTGTAGAGAATACAATTTTTATCTCATTACCTCAACATTTGGTTATATACTCAACCGTTTTTGAGAGACAGGGCAGAAAGCGTAGCGTGTTTATCGATTTACGGTATAATGCAATGTTAACTGTAAGTGCCAGTAAATTGTACTTTGTGTAAAAATCACTAAAATATATACATACCGAGTGAATATTTTAAAACCGAACATAGGCAATTAACACGGGAAAAACGTTTTTTTACAGATCGTTGCTCACCATGTGAACACCAATCGAAAGAAGATTTTTTCCTTGTCTAATAATATACGAATTAGTTCATTTTGAGGTGTATTTCTCATTATTTTATCAAAAATTCGGCAATAAATCCAATAAGCAAAATCATGTTCAGCCATGGAAATTTCCTAAAGAATTGAAATAGGCTCAGAAATAGGTTTTCACACAGACGGAATTGGGATGCTCATTAAAATGCACGGAAAACAAATATCGCGTACTAGAGTAAATATTTCCGCTGTAAACGTTGTTATTATAAATATTTTTATTTTATTTTTATTTTACATTATACGCCAGGTAATAGTTTTTATTGGCTCTAGGAGATGACGGGCTCGCCTAACGGCTCGCCAGTCAACTTCTCCTATCGCCAGTAAAAACTCACTTACCTGGCTAATAATGTAAAATACTATTTCCTCAGTGAACCGCATTTTACAAAAAAATTAATGCCAGTTGTCATAAACTGATATTGATTTCGACGTTTGAATCTGCTTTTTGTCTTACTATAGTCATGGCTTAACATGATTTTGGTAAGTGGATTTAAGAATCCAAGCTTTCCCCGTTCCATCCTTGGTGCTTCCCCCGTACCACCATTAGAACCCTCCGCTAACACCACTGAATTGGATTGTAATAATTTTGTTTTAATTGATCAAATGAAATTTACAGTATCGTGTCCAGTAGCAACCAATTTCGAAAATGAGGTCCACGATTCTAAAATTAATAATGAAATGGGAAAAAATGAAGTTGACGAAACTCTTTTACGTAATGATCGACCTGAAGTAAGCGAGAGTTACGTTCGTGAGGATGTGTCTTTCTTAAAGCAAGATGAGGGAGAGGCGGAAGATGAGAACGGTGCTGAAATCCCATCTGATGAATTATCTTCAAGTAACAATCTGGAGCTTTGCCATTCTGTACAAACCGTTGAACAAGCGAAAGAGGTGTCCGTTTTAACTATTGACGAAAGTAATACCATGGAAAGCCTACAAGACGAAGACGATTTGGACGAAGAAGATCAGGCTGAAGAAGTAACCGAGGAAACCGAAAAGTTAATACACGCAGATGTTTTGGAAATGGCACCGGCCGATCCAGAATCTGATCTAGAGGCAGAGCCCGAACCAGAATTCGATTCCCAAGAGTATGGGGATATGACCAAAGTAAAGAACACATTCTCGGTTTTGCCGAACTCATTAATTTTACAACAGGAAACAATAGTTCTACAGAAATCTCCATGTTTGGAAAATTGCGGGAATGATGTTTGTATGGAAGATTCAGCCGAAAAGTTAGAGGCCAGCGTGGAAGAATCTGATCTAGTTAGGGGAATCGCAGAAGAGGATCCAAATGAGGATCGATTTATCGATGCTGAAAATTATGTATTAGAATCGGGCCAAATTGAAGTGGAACAAAAAGAGAAACCTAGTAAGGGAGACCAAGTGCCTGATCTTCATACTACTATATTTGCAGCCACCACAGGTAATTTTTTGGAGTATTATTTTTACTGTTGTTTTGATTAGTGATACCACAAATATTCGACAGACTTAGTTGGCGGCGTGTTTTCCACTATTTGGCTGAATACCAAATGCCAATGCATTCTTGCTTGCCACGGACCCATTTGTCGATTGCAGCAATTCAAAACGTTTTTCACATCCACAAGAAGCGCGTCCCATTTTGAAGATGGCACACATTTCTCTTGAAATATATGTTTAATTAATTAATTAATTAACTTTTCAGTGGTCACCCCAAATTTTGGGTGGAATTGTACGCGACCTACCCCCTTTGTAGCCACGTGGCCTTGTCTACCTTTCGGAAATGATGTGCTTAGTATGCTCGCAAATGCTGAACTCATTAGGTAAAAATGTGGTCGTACAAGAATCGAACAATTCACTGTGTTAGATTGAAAAACGAACAGACCTACACTAAATTATTGTAAACAAAAATGCTATGCCTATGTATGTTTAGAACATGCATGTTTTGAAACTGCAAATTGGGAGAATTTTGTTTAATTTAAATTGTAATAATAAATACTTTAATCAATCAAATCTTTACTATTTGCTAATAGACATGATTACCAACAAACCCTTCAACAAAAGAAAAGAAAATTGTTTGAACAAACGTACTAAAATGTGTATTTTCCTATCAGTCCGCGCGGGACCACTGAAAGGTTAATTTCTACTTCAATGCGAACACTTAGTCCACTGTAAAGTCAATTTTTGTCACAAGCATCTCCCACATCACAGCCATCAGTTACTTCCAACGCACACATTTTTATAATGTTCTTCAAAGCCAATACCGATTGGACATTTATCAAGAGCAATTAAACTGCTTCACATCAATGCTTGCTTTTTCCCAAGGAACATCAATATTGCACATATTTTACAATTAAACTTGCCACTGTTTGTCTCAGTTCTTCACTGGCATCACCAAATCTTAAGAAGAAAATCAGACCAATGCTCTGTTATTACTCCAATAGGACCTCCGTGCAATTTTCTACCTACTTTCTTTACATGATCAGCCATAACATTAACAGTAGCAAGGAGCCAATTCATGAAGGCAAAACAAAAGATGTGGATGGTGGAAACGAAGCAACAGAATATTTTTCTTTCAACTCTGCTTCTGGAGTCATTACATCCAATACATCTTAACAGAGTGGACCACTTCTTGGTTTACAATGGTAAAGTTTGGCATATGGTTTTCTTCAACTGTAAACAAAATCGATGGCGGTAGGTCTCTTCAACGATTTCCAGACAAGTAGGCCATTTTTTTTAAATTCTTCTATTAAATTTGTCATTAATACGATATTGGGCGCGTTCACCAGGGGAAGCACTTCATGAGCGCTACTACCTAAAAGCGGGAATGGACTAGCAAGATCTCTCGCGCGAGTTGCTGTCTGACAGCACTGTCGAGGTGTACATACCACCGTCAGACGTTTACACCTCGACAACGCAGTGCTAACGGACAGTAACTTGTACTAGAAATCTTGCTGGTCTATTTTGTAATAGAGTGGCGAGTGTAGAAGCAACGTGTGATCAAAAGTTGAACACTTCGTGCAAGTCTAAAATGCCTTTAGGTAGCGCTCGTGAAGCGTTTCGCCTGCCTGGTGAACATAAGCATTTGTTTTTATATAAATTTTGTCACCAATTTTTGGTTGAACACATTGACATAAAGAACGATATTTATGTTATAGAAGACTGTTGGAATGTTGTCGATTCTAATACGGAGAAACTACTTGAAGTACCACTACATGCATTGGATACAGTTCCTGTTGGTATGGTTGGTGTAAGTAATACCACAACCGAGCACGTGGAAGTCATTCCAATGCAAGAAGAATTAGAGGTTCGATTGGAACAGGGCACCTTCCCTGTCCCTGGTGATTGGTCTTATGATATCAAGATGGATTCTGATATAGTAGCTGCTGCCTTAGGAACAACCCAAGCTACCATTGCGACTACGGAAAATTCTGATGTCAACTTTACGGGAAATCAAGTAAAATTGGAGCTGGAAGTAACTTTGACACCCGAAATACCTAACGCAGATATCTTAACTACGAGCTCGGCGAGTAGCACGCCAAATTCAACAGTAACGCCCGCATTAAGTAAGACAGTTGCTGCTGTTATACCTCCAACTACCATTGTTTGTTTACCGTCAGTGGTTACGACCGCCTCGATACCAAATCAAACAGTCTCGAACGCTGCCATTCAACCTAACATGCCCCGGTCAGGAATGGCTCAAAGTTCAAGTGCAATACCGTATATGCAGTTAAGTACTAGTCAACCGATTCGAGCTGTCACCACGCATACCAAAGTCAAAAGCAACACCAAACAAGGACCTACGAATAATAGAAATCGTAGTAATAACAAACCACCTCCGGGTGCCGTTAATCTTGAACGTAGCTATCAGATATGTCAAGCGGTGATTCAGAATAGTCCAAATAGAGATCAACTGAGGTGTCAGTTAAAGCCACCTCCTTCGTTATTAGCGGCGACCGCAATAAGTAATGCCAAAAAGATTGACTCGAATCGTCCTCAGCAATTTGGGAACGTTAATGTGTCTAGAAATACCAACAAAACATTCACACCGCCATTACCTGCTTCGGGTATTTATCAAATGGTCAGCTCGAATAATGGTATTAAAACAGTAGCACAGAAGACCAGAGTGGCCTATCATCAACAGAGACAGTCTAGTCCCCCCGTCGTAGTGAGGCATGTGTTTACTTCTGGACAGGGAATTCCCGTGACGATGGCAGTGCTACCCCAGGCTCAAGCGTTTAGCCCTGAAGTGAGTGAGTACTTAAATTTGTTAATGGTAGAGAATTGTTAGTTGCTAAATTGTAGATTTTTAACTTTTTGTGTGGGGCAATCCGCAAATTAAAAGCTTCTCCTGCATTTGGTCGCTATTGCAGCCAACACGAATTTTTTAAATGACACTATACATATTTTTCGTGCTTTCTTGACTTTGGAATGTCTTTCCACATTTAACCATGTTACGTTTGTATGTAACAAACAAACAAAATGTAGCAAACTTTTATACAGGGTGTTTTGTTTAAAATGGGCGTTGAGTTATTTTAGTCATAGCTTCCTCGCGAATCATCTACCACAGTACTGTAGAAATTGTTTCTAAATCAACGAAACAATACCCGATACTCGCCTTATCTCGAAGGAAACTAATTTTTGTTAAAACAAATTGCGCTTTAGTGGCCGGTGGTATGTTACTGATAAGCCCTTGGAGGAACGACAACCTTACCACCTTCTAAAGAGGCGCCAATTTTTTAAAGACGCTTCCGCTATGAGGGATAGTAATTCCTGGGTAGCTGCAGTGAGGAATCGGTCTGTAGTAAAATGTATGTAATTTCAGTACAATCCGCCACAAAATTAAATATTTTAAATTTGTGTACGCTACTGCGCGTATGAGCGTCCGCCATATTGAGAAGCCTAATAGGATCCATGTAATAATACATAAGCTCCTTCCTTATGGCCGTATGAACCGAAAAAGTTTAATGGCCGTATGCACCATAAAAATTTAAGCGGAGCTTAGCTTAAGCATAGCTTAAAATCCATGGCAACCATTGTCTCAATAATCGTTGCCTTGGATATTTAAACTACGCTTAAGCTAAGCTCAACTTAAATTTTTACGGTGCATACGGCCATTTTAGTCTTTTATTTCACTGGGAGCAACACTAGTTATTAATTAGCCACTGAACTATAATCAAACTGGAACGCGCCCTGCCGGTCTCTGCCATAGAACCGTAGCGCGCCGAGCGAGATAGAGCAAGGGGGATTTCTGTCACTGTCGCCGACGGAGCGCGCGTTCCAGTATAATTGTAGTTCAGTGTAATTAACCGTTTAAAAATCTAGTACTTAGTGCTTTGAAATTCGTCAGAAAATGACAGATTTTTTTGACAGTTGTAGAAAAATAACTATTTCTGCATAATTTTGTTACACTACCTCATAAAAAGTAACATGGTTAAAAGTGAAAAAACATTCCGAAATGAACTTTTCCATTTCTTCCTTACTTAATTTGAAAATTGGGAAACCTACTAATGTAATGGCTGTCCATCACATAATACCTAACCACCCTATTTTGTTCCACAATATAAAATCATTGTCTAAAATTCACTATAGTCATTTTGTAAGCCTTTGCAAAAAATTAGGAAGATTCCTAAGCATAAGGACTGTAGTATTTCATGTTTTGCAGATTTGCGTGCGGATCGCCTTCAGTTTTTTTTTGTTTTTTTTTTATATTTCAATTTTCTTTTATGATTCCCTTCATACCATTGGCAAATTTTTTTTATAAAATAGATTTTCTCACAGAATAAACGTTAATGTGTTCATCTCACAGGTAGTTGAAGGACAAAGCCAAATGGGCCAAGTTGGTCAGTATATTCTCGTACAACGTGCAGGTTTACCTGATCATCAAAGCGTGCCTCGTTCCTCTAGTGCTCCACCTTCGCAACAACAAATAGCGGGACCTATAAACACACTAGGGACTTCGCACATGCTATCAGTTGGAGGGCGTGGCAGACCCGCGAGTGTAGAAATGGAGCATACCGCTCTACAGCAACCACCACCACCTCCACCTCCTCCCGCGGATTTTTTCATACAATGTCCTAATCCGGGAACACAGGCGGTTACGAGAAGGCAAAGATTACCACAAGGTGTGGTTTATGGTGACGTTAGTGTTGAAAATCATTTACCCAATTACACAATTATCGGTGAGAATGTCATGATCGATCATCCTGGTGCTTCGATGCAGTCGCAAATGATTTTCACACAGAAAGGAACACAATTAAAGCCTATTACTAATAGTATACCTCCGCCGGTTAGTGATTCTTCTTGTCCTTGTAATTTAAAAGCGATGGTAATGTGTAAAAAGTGTGGTGCGTTTTGTCACGATGATTGTATAGGACCTAATAAATTGTGTCGTACGTGCTTGATACGATAGGTTTGTAGTTGAATATATCCTATATATTTGGTAAATTGTGCGTGATATCTTTCGCTAAAGTTATTTTTATTTATTTTGTTACATTATTTATGTACCTACGTAGCAGGGATTTTAAAATTAGATTATTTTCTGGATACTTTTGCCTGTTCCATTTTCACAGTAAATACAGGTTGCTTATTTTTTGCACCTCCCCATGGTAAGCTTGGTTATCTATGGAGCTATGTTGTTGGTTAAATTACCGCTATTTCTTATTTGTAAAACAATCATTTGAAAATTTACCCATTTTAGCGAGAATGTAAAGGAGCCATAGTGTGTGGTATATCATTTTAAACAGAGAAAAAATCTGTATTAAAAATTACAAAAATACAATTTGGTAATGTGGTCTGCATAAGAACTTTGCGATTATAGTCCTGTCAAATAGAAAACTTCGTTAAAAACAGAATAATGCTCAAATTTTTAAAAAAAAGTTCCCATAATGTCATGGTGTAACTTACTTTTGTTATTTTTTTTGTTATAAAATAAAGCATTAGAAAATGCAAAACAAAGTTTTCTTAGGAGAGCTAAAAAGATACGCACAAAAGTGCTTCTACTTCAGCATTAAATGTATCAACTTTGCCCTAATTTAACCAACATGGTATCTCTTACGATTCCAATGAGTAGTCCGTATGTATTACTACAGAACCTCCAAAAATGTTTGTTAGTGTTAGTAGTAATTTTGTATGTGATATAAATTGGTGGATGAGATTAAGATAACTATTAATAAAATTGCCATTATTTACTAAACGCTGACTGTAATATTGATTTTTTTTTCATCTGGCAGTAAATTAACATTTTTTTCTCTAAGCTCGAGGTGACCTGTCATCACGTCGTTACCAATCACAAAATCTACTATGCTGACTATCCCTCATGTTTGTGATAACAAGGTAGCTTGGCAGCTGCCATCATCGCGTATGATTGTTATTGTACACAATTTGCCAAAGTTAAATATTTTAGTACCTATATGTAGATGTGTAACCCGAAAAGACGTCATTCACCTACAAGTTGTTATAGTTTTGGAACCGGCATGTGCATTGTTAATATGTTAGAATGTGTAACATTTATGTTTAAATACTGGAAATACTCATATTTTTCTCTCTGCATTTTTCAAGTGCGAAGTCTTCCATCGAATCTAACTGGCTTCTAAGGACATTTTGCACGGATATGTTCTAGATCTCTGTAATTATTTTAAGTGTGTCGTACTTAATCGTTATTGATATTTTATGAGACATTTTTTCATTTTCGCAAGTTCCCTAAAAAAATTGGTTTACTTTTGTGTTTTTCACTTCGAAAATTGTGCAATACTGTTTCATTTTACATTTTAGATTTGTGTGAATTTACCAACTAAACGGCATCACTCTTATTCAGATCAGTTTTAGAACAAATAATGAAGCTTTGGCCACCTTGTTGCTTTGCTTAGTACCTAATAGGCGGAGTGTTGCATAATCTCAGTGGATTTAGAGATTTACAATTATTTTCATAGAATAACTTTTCGTTTTCTTAAATTGTATAAAATTAATTATGTTTTTCATTTAGCTCTGTGTACATATTGTAGTAACAATTTATATGCATTAAATCTTAATACATCATTGGATTTAATATACTGCAAATTTTTCTTTATTACTGTTAGGAATTTAATATAGCATATTTTTTTATGATGAGGACCCTACTGTGTAACTATGTTTGTCATTGCTAAAATGTTATTGCTTTATTTTCCTTTGATGCGCTTTTCCATTAGTGGAATTTTTGTTGACATTAATTTATTTTTACACATGAAATGGCAGAACTTGTAGATTTACTTTGAAGTAAAATAAATCTCACATTTATAATTTTTATTATAATGTGTGTCTTTCCTAAGATAGATTTTTCGTAGGTACCTGGGTAAGGGAAGCTACTTGCAACTTCTATTTTCTTCTTAGTGAACAGGTTTGGATCAAATTAACTCGAAGAAAAATATCTCGCCAATCGTCACATTCACACAAATCCGTTTCAAGCTAAGGGCCAATTGCACCAACAAAATTAAGCCTTGCTTAAAGTTAAGTCGAACTTAAAATCTATGGCAACGATTATTAAGACAATCGTTGCTATGGTATTTTATTTAAGTTATGCTTAACTTTAAGGGATACTTAATTTTGACGGTGCAATTGGCCCTAAATGGCTAAAAGCTGGGGGTTGGTGCGCCCCTACAAAAAAAGTCTCAAATAAACTGTGTTCCTTAAACAAATGTTAGTACAATACTGCAAGGTTTTCAAATGATTTATTTATTAAAATAATAGACTACCATATATCGACAGAGGTTATCCTTTATTCTAATGTATTTTATTTGTATCATGTTGTAACTTGGAAGCATGACTTTTTCTCAAAACTATATTTGCGCGGTCATGATTCATGAACTAATTTATGGCCGTTTGCACCGACAAATTTAAGCGGCGCTTAGCTTAAGCGTAACTTAAAATCCATGGCAACCATTGTCCCAATAATCGTTGCCATGGATTTTAAGCTAAGCTCTACTTAAATTTGTCGGTGCAAATGGTCATTATAGTAATAATTGCCAAAACTTCATCTTTTACCAAGCAGTTTAAATTTGTGCCAACTCCACACTCATATAATATGTACAATATGATTTACAATTTTTTTTTACATCCAAGAAACTTTTCTTATGAATCGAACAGATACTCCATGCAAACTGCAAAGGAGAATAATTGTTAATAATATGTAGTAAGAGTTTTTGGTTTATAATCAAAGCAGAATACATTGTGCTGACATCTGTCTTTATTATTGGGGACTAACATTTTATCGCTAAATACAGGACACTTTATTACCACCATTATTTTAGTTGGAACTTACACCTCAAAGATGTCGCCACACTAATTTTGTAATGTACTTTATGAAACTAACGTTAGATGTCGGAGCGCTGTTTTTAAAAACCATAGATACAGGGTGATTCCTATAGTACCTGCCACCGTTTGGGAGCGTATAGGGGGTGCCTAGGGGAGTATTTTGATATAGGACACTTGGGGTCGGAAATCTAAAATAAGGGCGCCAGAACCAAATTTATCTTCTGGAATTTCACGCCTGTATGTAGGCAACCCAACCGACCGACGTTTCGCGCGGAGCGATGCAGAGCGAGTTAGCGCGAGGAAGCGACATGGGAGGGAAGGAGGGAAAACGACAGTCAAAAGCAATAACGTTTACAAGTGTTCAACGTGGCCACCGTTGTTCTCAATGCACTTCCTACATCTAGCCAACTATTATTATACTATTGCCATAGTGTTTATTCACTTGATACGCGTCGTTGCAGACGGGATTTCGTGGGTTTAAACAAAATTCTGATCAAGTGTCAGCCACACATCGCCGCCTGAGATCGCTCCGTGTGCACCGCCGGCCGGTTGGGTTGCCTACCTACAGGCGCGAAATTCCAGAAGGTAAATTTGGCTCTGGCACCCTTATTTTAGATTTCCGACCCCAAGTGTCCTATATCAAAATACTCCCCTACGCACCACCTACACGCTCCCAAACGGTGGCAGGTACTATAGGAATCACCCTGTATATGAAGTTTTAACCTCAAATGCATAATGAATGTTTGTTTATTTTATAGTCAAAAATTAAACTTTGTTATCAAATTTTTCTCGCTTACAGGTTTAAATTAGGGAACTGGCTACTGGGAGTGACAGGAAAGCGGCAGACTCAACCTTTGCGGAATATGATACTGTTCGCTCTGGGTTGTGCAATCGAAGACATGTAGTTCTCGATGGATGAGAAACGTTAGCATTGAATTCAGACAACACAAATTGAAAAGGGAAATGCTTTGTAACCAAAACAGGAGGACACCGTGGAGAACTCGCAGAAAACCCATTCTAATGCAATTCAAACTTCTCAAGGTTAAAATCGGAACGATTATATGATTGCAGCAGCTGGCGATGGTGCCAAGCTATTCTTTAAAGAATTGAGCCCAGAGTTTATTTGATAGAACTACGGTTATAGAAACGGTAGTGAAATTGGCAGCGAAATAAGGCAAAAGTGTTACGGAGTTTGCAATCACGAAAAATGTGTTGTTTGTGCGATCTTCGTGTGAAAGTTGTTGTAAAATAGTTCAGTTTAATGTACCTGTTATTGAAATTGTTCTTCCAAGGGCTTTAAATAATCTATGCATAAGAAGTTAGGAATTGCAAAAATAAATGTTTTCTGTTCATTGAGCATGATGCGTTGCCTACAAACCTGGCTACACAAATATCGAGTGCCCATATTCAAACTAGGGATTTGCTTGAATCTCCCCAAACTGCCGTTTTTATTGAGGGTAAGGAGGGCCTCGACGAACGAATGGCCCAGGGCCCCGAAAAACTTAAAAACGGCACTGCATTTAATGAATGATAAGTGCAACGTTGCTATTAATCGCACAAATTCAAATGAAATTTTAAAAGAAAATGCGTACGTGGCGACATCTCAACTAGACTTCTAAAACTATAATTAATAAAAAGTGAATCGATTGCCATGGAGATGGCGCACTAGTACTTATTGTATTTAATCTATCTATTCAAAAACCAGATCTTGCAAGACTCCGTACATTTTGAACTGCCATTTATTCAGACTTCTCAATCAAAAGTTATAGACTAGAAAACAATTTCGAAAGAAAATTCAAAAGGCTGTAACTTTTGAACTAGTAGCCCAATCTTGGAAGGTTATACACTACCTTTTTTTGAGCCCCGAAAAAAAAATTGTCTCAGATCGACCGTCCGTTTACCCGCCTTGTCCTTTGGCATTCCAAAAACGCTATGAAAATATCGAAACGAAATGGAAAGTTTGCGAGAACTTGGTGAGCTGCACTTTTGTCTGTTTAGACTGGCAAGAAAAGTGTCGCAAGAATTCTTCCTCGAGTTCTGTCAAATGGACTCGCAATGCTATTTACACTTAAAACAGTAGTGTCCGACAGTAAATCGCGCGAGTTTTCTTTCTAGTCTAAAGGCGCCTTTAGCCTCCTCCCATTCTATGCCTTGATCTTGAAGTATTCTTGCTACTTAGGTACATATCCCATATTGTCTTTATACTTCTCCTTTTCTTCCTATTTTGAATTCCGGTGTTCCATATGTGTTTCACAAGCAGACTGTTTTCCATTCGTCCAAGGCGTCCAAATAAGCGTTTTAATTTTTGTCTATCAAAGGTCTCTATCAGAGCATCCACTTCTTTTTTTATCTTCTTACTAGGAATTCCACCAAGTCCCCTTACCCTACACAAGTACTTCATTTCTCATTTCTGTAGCATGTAGTCTGGTATTTTGTGATTAGTTCAGAACCCAACTCCGTATCCGTCAATATTGGTCTGTAACGTTATTGCTGTAAGTAAAATTCATTAACTATTTCTAATTAACTGTTACAGTACTTACCGAAATAATTTCTGTCTATCGCCTTTGGTATATTCTAGTCTAGGAATTCATAGCCATGTACTTGAAATGTAGATAACAACAAAATTCATCTTGATAACATGGCATTAACATATACCTACTACACCTACTTACAATAGGTAAGCAGGTAAGCTAAATTATCTTTAACGCAGGTTATGTGTATATTATTTACCCCTTACACTTGACAGTTGTACGCAAATTCAAATTTTAGCGCGCTTGCGTTTGCGCAGAATCGCGGGGGTCAGTGTGCAACACAGGCAACACATCTACAAGTCTCGTTCAACGGGTTTCGAGCTAGCTCGCCTCCTATCATGCGTGGCGCTCATGGAATTTTTTTTCTAGTAACTTTTAACTTTTCCACTAAAGCAACTAAAAGAGTCGTCCTGGATTCCCTTCTGGCATTCCAAATTTCTCTTGTTTGGAAAGATGGCAGACAACAAGTTGTACGATATATTAGGAGTTAGTAGATCATCCTCTGATGGCGAAATTAAAAAAGTAAGCGACTAACGTTTGGTGAAATGATAATCTTTTTGTAATAGTTACTTAAGGAAACGATTGTGTTTGCATTTTTCACTATTCAAACAGCATGGTTGTCTGAGTACCCATTTTGTGAACGAATTTTTAGGCATACAGAAAACTGGCAAAGGAGTTTCATCCCGATAAAAATCCAGAGGAAGGTCATCGTTTCAAGGAAATCTCCTACGCCTACGAAGTGTTGTCAGATCCGAAAAAACGACAAGTGTATGACAAGTACGGTCTGAAAGGAATGCAAGAAGGGGGAATGCAAGAGGGTGGTTTTGGCGGTGCCGAAGATATATTGTCTCGTATTTTTGGTCAGGATATTTTTGGCGGTTTTGGTATGGGCGGGATGCGTAGAAGGCAACGAGGTGAAGATACAGTTCATCCCTTAAAAGTTACTTTGGAAGATATGTACAATGGAAAAACTGCCAAATTGCAACTTAGCAAGAATGTAATATGTGCAACTTGTTCCGGAAAGGGTAGTAAAAGTGATGTCGTTGCTACTTGTCGTGCTTGTAAAGGTAGCGGTATTAAAGTTACTTACAGACAGTTAGGACCGACAATGAGTCAACAAATGCAATCTCGTTGTCCCCAATGTTTAGGAGAGGGTGAAATTATTAATGAAAAGGATCGTTGTGGTACGTGTCGAGGGCGAAAGGTTTGTAATGAAACAAAAATAATAGAGGTGCATGTTGATAAAGGTAACTATCTAACGGCAATATTGTATATTAAACGATAATAACTGTAGGAATGAAACAAAATCAGAAGATTTTTTTTCGTGGTGAAGGTGACCAACAGCCAGATGTCGAACCCGGAGACGTGGTAATTGTGCTGCAACAGAAACCACACGAGGAATTTCAACGTAATGAAGATGATTTACATTTGAATCATGTAATCACCGTAACAGAAGCTTTATGTGGGTTCTCTTTTGTTGTTCATCAATTGGATGGGAGAGATCTACTAATTAAACACACAGCCGGTGACGTTGTCAAACCTGGTGATGTACGAATGATACCTGGGGAGGGGATGCCTCATTATAAAAATCCATTTGAGAAAGGAAATATGTACATTACCTTTGAAGTACGTTTTCCTGACAATCATTTCGCTAACGAAATGCAGTTAAGAGAGTTGGAAAATGCTTTGCCACCTCGTACACCATTTACAATGCCAACTGGCGATCACGTCGAAGAAGTCGATATGCACGAATATGATCCAAATGATAAAAATGCAAGTGGCGGACGTGGCGAAGCCTACGACAGTGATGAAGAACATGTTCACGCCGGTCCAGGTGTGCAGTGTGCTCATCAGTAAAATTATTCAAATAGTACGTGTTGTCCTGCTGCTTTCTAAATACGGACTTGTAATGTAATGATGAACAGTTTGATGATACTTAATATGCTTATAACCGTCTGCAGTTTTAGACTTTTTACAAATTTTGTTAAAATGGTAACAAAAATATTTATGCGGTATGTAACACCCTAAAAACTGCTTCGAAACGTTTATACATTATGTATCAATTTAATTCCATTTTAGATACTTGCTATAATAGAGTAATTTGTGGGTTTATTCTTTTGCTGTTTTACCTTTTTTTATACTTTAACCTCTATTGTGGTGTTGTAGTACCTAATTGAGGAAATTTTTTTCATTTGAAATTGCACTCCGTCTCGTCTCGTAACTAAATAATGCTTAGTTATCAAAAAAATTGGCATCAAAGAAACAAATAAATTGCATTCATTGTTTTGTATATTTCCTTGTCGAACAATTTCAGATGTACATACAAAGGTCCATTTTGATCCGTCACTTATTGCAGGATATTTATGTCAGGCTTTTGTTGTCACTTAATGGGCGCGTTCATAAGACACAACTGTTGTGGAACAGTTACCGATACGTCTTATAATTACGTCGCTACTTTTACGCTCTTTAAGGAGCAGTTGGCCATTTTTAGTAGCGCTATATATGTCAAAGTAGGGAACGTTACATCAGACCCCAACTGTTACCAATATGCTACGAGGTAGCGTAGCGGTAACTTTTGTATCTTACGAACGAGCCCAATGTAAACAAAGATTTGTCTGACATATATATTTCAACTTTCTGCGATAAGTATTGATCAGAGCCTATTATAACTATGAGCTGTCGCCTGCCATTACCGACGTCACCATGTTAACTTAGAGGGTTTATAATGAGACCAATCGATAGATGATTTTTGATTCTCATTTAATGATACGGGAATTAGTTAACTTTCACTTGTATTTCTCATTATTTTATCTAAATTTCGGCAATAAATCGCTCCTAAAAATGCACGGAAAAACAAACATTGCGTACTAGAGTAACTATTTCTGCTTTAAACGTTGTTTATTATAATTACTTTTTCCTCGGTGAGATGTCGATGTGTCGAACTACTTAAGTGTGTTTTTGTACGAAGGATCAAGATTTCCTTCAAACCCGAGCATTATACGATAATTCCTTCAAGAGTTACACTACCAAACAGCCAAAGCCATAAACTGATAGATTTCGACTTGAATAACGTTTGAAATCTACTTTTTGTCTTACTAGTCATGGCTTAACATGATTTTGGTAATTAGATTTATTGCCAAATTTTTATAAGATAATTAGAAATACAACTGAAAAGGAACTAATTCGCATGTCATTAGATAAGAAAAGAAATCTTCTTTCGATTAATGTCATTACAAACACAACTTAAACATGGTTTGGAATATTCACTTGATATACAATTAGATGTAAACATTGCATTAAACGATAAAAAATATATATGTGTCTGACATGTGTTTCAACTATGGAGATATAGTGTGGCACATGCATGTTTAGATGTAAACTCTGCAGAAATACATGTACACCTATTCGAACACAATGAGTGGTAAAGAGCTGCAGTTAAGGGGTGAAATTGAAAAATTAATAGAATTATACCACAATAAACCTGAAGTGTGGGACATTAAAAGGAAATTTATAAAGACAGTGCAAAGAAGTGAGATGCCTTAAAGGAAAATGCTAATAAATTGAATACTATACAATATACAAGTGAAAAAATAACAAAAAAAGATTGAGAAACCAATTTTTCTTTTTTTTCTTATATGCGTCAAAATAATGACAGTTTCCGTTATTTTTTCTTTTGAATACTTCAATTTTTAAAGAATGAAAGATATGTACGACATTATAGACATATATCATACGAATGTAAACGAGTGGTACATAGTCATACACATATTCGGTAGCAATTTCTATACCAAATGTAAACAGACAATCAAATTTAGGCACTTGACATATATGTCTAGCTATAAGTTGTCAGATCTAAATGTACCTTCACACCCATAAGCAGAATTTTTTTGTTTAAATTGGCAAGTAAAGATTCATAAAGGTTGAAGATAGATACAACACGAACAAAAACCAGTTGCTGTCGAGTTACCTTTGGAATTTTTGTTTACATGGGAAATCGTACTTAATTTGAACTTCCAAAGGCCACTCGACATCAACTCATTTTTGGTCGCCTGTTATATGCTTTTTGTGGATAATTTGTCTTTTATACATTTTGTTTTCCCTGCATTTTGAAAGAAGTGATCCAAGATTTTTATAAGAAAACACCATTGATAACTCTTACATTCCATATATAATTGCTTGATAATTAATGAGTAGTTTGTAAACTTTTTTTTGTTACAATGTGCTACAGTAGAACCCGGATTATCCGGGCAGCGGATTATCCATGCCGTGATTTGACTTAATTAAAATTACATTTTTGACATTGAACATTTTAAATTTACACATCATGCACCAGCAGATTAAAACTTTTCACACACATAGTAGGGGAGCTAGCTCGAAATCCACTGAACGAGAATGATCAAAATTTTAACCGATGGGAGTTCCATTTTGCCCTATCCGAATATGCTAAAATCAACCATCTGCCGCCTCAGGTCATATTACTTAAGGCGCTGCGGTACCAATTCTAAAAGGTAGTTTTTCAAAAAAAATAACAGCTAATGAAAACGTTGATAATAGCACTTAGGCTTGTCTCACATATGGAAGCGTTTACGCGCGAACTGAAATTCGTACGAATACGCATGGCTATGCTTAATACGTACGTTTACGGACGAACTATTCAAACGGACCTTCGCACATTAGCGATTAATAAAATCGTCCGTATACGTGCGTATAATTGCGACGTGCGAACCGATCCCATTTTGTTCGGATTTTTATGCGTATTCGCAAAAGTTGTAGGCGATTATGTTTGTGAACAGTTGCTCAGCTTATGATAGATACGCGGCTAATGTGCGAATGCGATTTGTGCGTACACGGGCGTACAATTCATGCGTTTTTGGGAAAAAAGGACGTGAGTGGATTTCAAAGTATGTGGTGTGAAAAAGATGTTCTGTGTAAAATTGACAAAGGCGAACTTAAAATACTGATGTAGTTTGTTTTTTTTGTTATGTATACCTACTGTAATCGGTAATGTGTAGGGAGTATCAAAAATACAGGTAACGAAATTGTAAAAAAATGTACAGTTGTAAATAAATAATAATAATAATAATAAAATTTCAGTTCGCGCGTAAACGCTTCCACTGTGAGACAAGCCTTAAATACGCACAGTAGGTATAGCTTATACCTACGCAAATAATATTTCGCACAGTAATTACCTATGTCTCTTATTTCACGATAATGAATAATTGATAATTTGATAATTAACATGCATATTTTACAGTTATTAAGGTATCAAGGGCGTTATAAACTAAATAACGCCCCAGGTCAACAGTGTAGAACCCGAGGGTTGTACGTTGACCGTGGGCGTTGTGTTCTTTAACGTCACCCAAAAGAAACGAATCGGTTGAGGCAAGAAAATTTATGGGTCTGGGCCAAGCTGGTGCGATGTTCTCTGGACAGTTCCAAAATTGTTCTTTTTAGGTACTTCAAAGAATAGCAGTAGGATAATGCGACATCAACACATGTTATTTTTATTTAGTTGAAAATAAACACATAAAGAGCGTTTAAAAAAGCGGCAAAGCATCTCGGTGTGACCCCACGAAGTCATTGGTTGACCCATTTTCAATTGGCTTCTTACATGTATTTGTATATGTTAACTGTGCAAAGTTTGAACCGAATCGGTCCAAGCGTTTGACAGTTATCGTGTTCACGGACAGACGGACACCATCGACTCCCCTATAAAGCTTGCGCATTAACACGATTTTGGTAAGTGGATTTATTGCCGAATTTTTGATAAAATACTGGAGAAATACACATGAAAATGAACTAATTCGTATATCATTAGACGAGGAAAAAAATCTTCTTTCGATTGGTGTCATTATAAACCCTCTAAGTTAACAGGGGTGCAACTATCTACAAAAAACCTTTCCCATGTTAATTCCCTATGTTTGGTTTGGGAATAATAAGTATTCACCCGGTATATTGAGGGCGAATACCTATACTTGTAAAGGGTCTAAAATGTATATTATGTAGGATAATACCTATTCCTGTAGTCAATAGATAGGTAGGTACCTACCGGATACCAACTACTAGCATAGTGTAATTCTATTCTTTACACTAAGCTACTAGGTAGGTAGGTACATATTTCAAAGGCATTTTTATTAGAAACGAACTATACTCTGTCGCATTGCACGTGCTAATATAGTAGCCCAGAATGCATTCTCTGGATCTTTATGCAATGCCAGAATGGGTACCTATTGGCAATTGTTGTCATACCTATTGCCATCAGTCACTTGCCCCAGAAACGTGTTAAGCTGTTGTGCTCAGCTTTAGCGAATCTGGACTTTCAGATTGGTAGGTAATAAATTCAAGTCGGCTATTTACCGTAATTTTTTATTCATTAAAATCGATTGTTATTTTAAAACTTGAATGTGTTGGCTGCGTGTCTACGCGGTGTTCTGACAATATAACAATAAGTACCAGCACGCATTCTGGCATTGTAAAGGATCCAGAACGCCTTCTGAGCTAAATTAAACAGCCGAAAAGCAATATAGTTCGGATATTGGCAATATGCTAGTGGCCAGAATGCGTTTTCGTCATAAGTAGGTATTTTTTTACCATACATATTGACCGAAATCGATGTTGGATCCTAACATATAGGTAGGTACCAGGCACCTACATAGGTATTTGAAATGGAGACTTGTGTGTCCGCATGGCGCATTCATAATATTCATACAATATCCGGAATACTATCCCAATGGGACAGTTCCCCATATACAAGAAGCATTTTAATTACAGTAGCTTCTTGTAAAGTAAAAATGTTTGTCTCGTTGTATGAGCACCCATCAAGGTCTGATCGCAATTAGCAGCGTTATATATTTGTCCAGGATGCACCCTGTATAGCAGAACAGACCAAACAGACACATTTTTCCTGTTTGAAATCATATAGGTAACAACCACCCGAGTTCGTAGGTCAACACATACCTACGCCCCTTGTGAGAAAAGAAAATTCAAGATGCGAAGTATTTCATTAAAAGAAAATGAGTGTAATTGCGTATACGTGCGGAAATGAGTACACGCGAAGGCGTGCTCTAATTCCAATCCAATGCGATAAAGAAGCGAAAAATGTTATTTAAACGATATTTGTTAAGTCGTCGATAGAATCAATAAGTATATAAATATCCTTTTGGAGGCATTTGAAAGTGTACGTTACACGAAATTGGTCTTTTAGATGAAATTAAAATCTAATCTAAGAACGAGTTGGCGGCTTCACAACAAGGCAAGCCACAAGGTCTTTAAATAAACATCATCAATAGA